GGTCAGGCTTGAGATTTTGTCGGCCTCTCCTTTCTCATCCTTCTCAGTGCTGCCATGTCGGTGAAACCTTCAGGGTCAGGTGAATGAGACCAGTTGTAGTTACTGGTTTTGGCATATCGAATACACAGCGGATAGCTTGCCAGGCTCTTCCGTGCGGGCAGAATACTCTCGGTAGCTTGCCAGTCTTTCCGAGAGGGATAGAGGCTTTTGGGGTGACCTCTAATCACCCTTGTAGGTGTTACCATATTTGAACCCTATCAAATATGGTATGACAATTCCAGAAGATGGGTATTTAGTGTCCTATGATGTGTCGCGCGGCCGCTTGCGACCCAATATAATCAGAAAAAAAAAACACAATCCTGATACAGAAAACATATTTTCATAGCTTCTATAAATAGAAAACAGTAAAAAGACTGATGATTGGTAGAATTAAGGTCCCAGAACATACAGATGGGAACTTCCAACTCAGGCTAGTGGGGGTCACTAGTACTTTTGATGCTCTTGTGAAAAGATTAAGGCAATTAAATTGAAGGGATCAAAGAAAAACAGATGAAGGAGGCACAAACAGGAAAAACATTTACATCTTAGCAAAAATACCAGACATTACATTAAACATATATAATCTATTAACCAGCCCTAATAATAGCTTCATTTCTTTGAGCCCTTGGGTCAATTCAGTGACGTTTGGCAGAGTTTTATCTTCATTTTCACCTGGTTTGGTGGTTGAGTACAGATTTAAGAAATGTGGTGAGGAAATAGGAATTTGGACTTTACTAGGACTTTGACCCCCAGCTCATTCCTCACAACACATCTGGACTATTTTTCATGATATACATTGGGATTTTGAAGATGTCGTTAAAAATAATGGCCATCACTTCTTAGTCTGAGCTTTACAAGTATCTGTTGTCTAATATTCTTAAGAATATTTAGTTTTAGCATTGAAAAATTTCTCTGACTGCAAAAATCAACCAAATTCTGTGGTACCATGGAGGAAAAAAATATGAGCCAGTGTTTACCCTCTCTGGGTTTTGTTTTCTCAAGCAGTCATCAAATGATTGTCATTATATATGGTACTGACCCCATAACCATGTCACTGGACTCCGAGCAGGCTGTTTTCACTCAGGGCGCCCCAGAGGGGGGTGGGTGAGAGCCCTCCCTGCCAAAAGGGACTTAGCCCTGGTATCCTCTACTACCCAACTGCTGCCACATTCCAGGCTGCTTTCCACAAGCTCAGGCCGAGCCTCACATATGAGTGAACATATTCCTGGACACATCATAAGACAATCCTTATCCATTTTCCATAATTACCACACCATATTTGGTGGGGCTCAGACAGTAGGCAACAAATCATAGAGGGATATATATATATATATATATATATATATATATATATATATATATATATATATTGCCTCTCAGAGAGCCCGGCAAGCTACCGAGAGTATCCCACCCGCACAGCAGAACCTAGCAAGCTACTCGTGGTGTATTCTATATGCTCAAAACAGTAACAATAATGGGTCTCATTCCCCTGACCCTGAAAGAGCCTCCAATACACCAGTGTTGGGAAAAACGAGTAAGGAGAGGCTGCTGAACTCTCAGGGCTGGGACGAATGGAGACGTTACTGGCAGCCCCTAGAGAAAATCGATGAACAACGGGATGACAGTCATGAAGTGATACAGTGATGGTACTGGGTGCTAGGCCTGCTCGCCTGCCATTCTGAAGTGGAGACTAGAGAAAGGTCTAGGATGCAGCTAGCTCCAAAAGAGTTGTCAGGAGACTTGGGATCTCTGCTTCTCTCTCACAGTCCAACAGCACAGCAACCCAGGGCAGAGTCAGGAGTCTCTGGAGGTGGTGAGATTTTCACAGAAAGATGTTGGTACCTCATGACAAGAAGCGGGGGGCATCAGGTAGTAAAATTCCAAGGAGAGAAGCAAAATCTCATTCTGGTTCTTGTTCTATGATGTCTAAGGAACCGGTGACCTAGAGCAAGTTCCTTTCCCTCAGACACAGTACATACTGAATACGCATGTGTGGTTTTTGGACCACTTAAGTTGAGGGTCTCTCAGAGAATAAAGAAAAGAAAAGGAATTCTCATCTACCATTAATTTCGTTGAGTTTGAGGATATATCCAAAAGGAGAAGACACAGTGCTGTCCAGTTGGCTCTCGTAATTGCCTAAAGAATCACACTGCTTTGAGATTAATATTTACTTCTGGCTTCTCTTGAAATTCTGTGAAAAAATGTTTTCATGGGCTTTAACTCATGTTGGGAGCTTTGGAAGTGCTGGAATTCGGGGCCCATTGCAGATCAAAAGACCCCCCAGGAGATCCCATGTTTCAGCTGGGTTGAAAATCCCCACATCCAAAGAGTCCATCACAGTTTAGAAACACTAAGTTATGACCATGTTATTTGTTTTGAACATGAATAGTGACTATTTCTTAGAGGAACAGCTGAGGTGAGTACAGCAATTTACTACTAAAGCCACTTGGAGGATTGTGTACACTGATGCCTGGATGTTCTGTTTGCAAAGGGAGGATTGTCAAACTTCTAGAGGTAGAATTTTGCAGTGCATTTGAGATGCTTTCTAGTGTTGTGTTTCTGTGTCTGGTGTCCCAAGTGGTGTCTTGAGAGTCCAGGGGAAAAAGATGCGATGCCACTCAATCCCACAGTGCCACTCTGCAGAGCCTCCCTCAGAACTTTCACAGGCCACGTGGAGCTGGGAATCAAACCGGGATCGGCATAATCAAGGCATGCGCCTTAACTCCTATGTTCTCTCTCCAGTCCTTTAAACTACTTTTCAAAAACTGGAATTGAAGATGAATAGTTGTGTTTGAAAATGCCCACTTATTTTTATATGTAAGCAGTCTTCATATAACTATAACTGATACGTCTAAATTTTAATCGCTATGGGCTCTTCTGAAATCCACTTCTGAAAACCATAAAGAGAAAGGGAGACTTTAGTCTTGCCTAGTCTCCAATGGAGACGTTACTGGGCCCGCTCGAGCAAATCGATGAACAACGGGAGGATCGTAACCGTGATGTTGGGAAAAATATAAAGATGAAAGAGCTCACTGTATCTCTGCATATCCGGGTAAGGACAATGCAAATTGCAAGAACTGGCGGGTCCAATAGCCAAAGTTTATGGGCAGGTGTCATTCTGTGAGGGGAAGTGAAATTAAGTGGCCTGTTTATTATGACCTGAAAATATCTGCATCAAATAAATTAGGTAAGAATCTCTGTGGCAAGCACACAGTTTGAGTCTCTGCCTCTTCACAATTTCCCTTCCAGGATGGAAGTTTCCCAAAGACCTTCATTTTTATAAATTGTTTAACCCAAGACAGAGGCAGCTCTTCTGATTTTCACCAGAAAGAGGCTTTGGGAACTATATTGACAAATTGTTATTAAAGTGCTCTTTGATGTCGGCTGCATTTTCTGATGTCTCATCATCTATAATTTTGACATTTTTTCTTGGAAAAACACCTCCGAATATCAGTCCCAGATGGCATCCTTAAAGATGCCCACTTTCTGTGATCATTCACAGACAAAATCTTTGCCCATATATAAAATAACATGTTAAGTGATGTATAATGAAATACCTTGGGGGCATTGTTTTACTGTCATCAGTAGGAAAGCTGCTTGGAGACTAGTTTGAAAGACAAAAATATTCCAGACTTCTTCTGTGTTCAGCATGCTTTTGATTACTTAAGTGGTGTATTTGATGAAAAGAGGAAATAAAATAGGCTGATATTTCTTAGTGAATTTCTAGACATATTCTGTGACATGCTAACTCTTACAAATGCTGCAGGTGAAGTTTTTTTTTTTTTAAATCCACTCACAAGAAGGAAGACAAGCCACATAGAGCTCCTAGTGAGAAAGTAATGGAAAGCCTTAGTTCACAAATCAGAGTTTTCAAATGCATGTTCACAGAAGTCAGTATTTCTTTTAAGGCTAAGCTCATCCTTATAGACTTTTGAAAATTTATTTTATTCTAATCCATTGCAGATATTGATTATTTATCCAATTCATTTCAGGAAACAAATATTTACTCGTTGTTTATTTATAAGCATTATACATTAAATGCAAGATACTACAAAGAGAAAGTATTCCCCATCTACAATAAATGAGTAGAAATGGGATAAAGTTTAAAAAGTAATCTATCCATAGATACACAATAGATAAAAGTAATCCAATAAAGATTATAAGAATTGTTATGATTTCTGTAGTAATGATTTACTTATCATCATTACTTAAAAACTGTGAGAACTGACACTTGATACTTTCTTATAATAACCCATCTCGTTGAAATAGCACAGGTAGACATTCTTTCAAACAATATTATATTTTATAATTATGTCCTATAAAATATTTTAATATTAAAAAAGTTAATTCACTTGAGATATATATTCCTTAACAACATAGAAAAATGGGATTTTTAAGTTAGCAAATATTCTAAGTATTGACGATGTCAAACCCTTATGGTTAAGTCAGCAATTAATTCTATAATAATCATTAGTTTCAATAGGATATCTGAACTCCTAGCTGGCTTATTTTTCTAAAAAATGTCATAATAAAGTTACCAAATGTTTTTTCTTGTCAATAAAAGGTCAGTCAACCAATCATACCATATAATTATACTTCAGCTAGAATTTCATGACTTAGATTTCTTTTAAATGAGAGTATTGATCAAAATCATTCTGAATTACTGAATCCAGAGAAATTGTCTGGTCTGAGAAGGAAAAGCGATTGAGATTAATTATATCAGTATCTTTTCATTGAAAATAAGCAAGGTAATAAGTTGAACACCACACCTATTTCTAAAACTGTTGTTGCATTTTGCTGTATAGTGCTACATTCTATAGTCATGATTTATATTGAACTTACCACAATTTTATAATACAACGTCTTCTTAATAGTATCATTATGCTATATACTGCCAAATGTTTATTTCCAAGGAAGTTTTATTGAGAATGGAGATTTATTATCACAAATTACATACTTACTCTTTGGGAAACAATGGAAGAGAAGTCCAGGCCAATAAAGTTGCATTGGTTGTAGCACTCAGAATCCCAAACAATTTTATTGTGAGCATTGATTCCCTTGGAAGTGACTTTATTTCAAGAGGAAAATTAATCCTTAGAGTAAAAGAAAAAAGTTGATTACCCAGCTGCATTTCCATAGATATCCCCTTGAAATAAAATGTGTGATAAAATTGTTTAACAATTTGAATTGAGGCATCTTCTTTAAATTTTATGTCTAATCTTATAAAATTGGAAACAACAGAATACAGAGAGTAGTGAGATTGGTTACTCAACCAATGATATTGGTGTATTTGAAAGATTGACAAGTTACACTTATCTTTAAAGATTACAGTCGACTGGACATTTACTTTTTGTACTAAAGACATTTTAAGATGTGGGCATATAGTAAATAACTCAGAAAGAGAGGGACAGACATAGAAGGACTGAACTCATTTGTGGAGTATAAAACAACATAACATGAGGCTGACACTTAAGGACAGTAGATACATGGGCCAGGAAGATTGATCCATAGCTGGACGCCTGCTTCATGAGCAAAAGAGAGAAGGCAGTTGGAATAGAGAAGGGATCACTAAGAAAATGATGGCTGGAGGAACTGGTCAGGAAGGGAGATATGTGCTGAAAGTAGATAATGGACTAAACATGATAATCTCTCAGTAGATGTATTGCAAACCATAGCACCCAAAAGTAGAGAGAGAGTATGGGGAATATTGCCTGCCATGAAGGCAGGGGGAGAGTGGTGAAGGGGAGGTATACCAGGGATATTGGTGGCGGGGAATGTGCACTCGTGGAGGGATGGGTGTTTGATCATTGTGTGATCCTAACCCAAACACGAAAGCTTGTAGTTATCTCACAGTGATTCAATAAAATTTAAATAAAAGATAAATAAGTGGATATTTGGAAAATTAATTTTTCTGAAATGAAAGAATATTTGGAAAAACTTTGAGACAAACATATGAATGAAAAAAGTATTAGGTATAGTTCAGAAATGATGATAAGCAGTGTATTTTGGTTGGAACTAGGTCAGTTGATCACTGAAGATGTGGAGGACACAATTGACAAATAGTTGTCAAAATTCTTAATAATTCTAAATTCCAGGCAAAGGAATTTGAGCTTGTTCCTATGGAAAGGGAAATATTTGAAAGAGAGATCTAAAAGCATTGAAATAAGTACCATGGTTTTAAATATGATCTATTCTGAGTGACGCTATTTTCAGGCATTTGGGGACTGGTTTCTAAATTGATAGATAATTCCTGAGCATGTGAGCTTGAGGGAACTCTAAATTTAGATCGTGGGTGGATTATGGATTGTAGATATAGTTGTTGGGAAAGACCTATTTATAAGAGAAAAAGATAGAAGAAATACTTTTCAAAAAGATGAGATGGGGAATATGTTTGCTAGTTGATAAGAAGGTTTGAAGAAGTTGGAGCAAAGTAGCAGAAGTGGGAGATGGGAAGTATTCATGGGAACTGATTCATCAAGGAGTGAGTGAGAAAAAAGAGGAAAGAAATTGAAGATACATGGGACCATTTGCTTTGGATGAGAAATGATGCTGTTAAGTACAAGGAGAATGAACAGAACCAGTGACCTTGGAATCCTTAGCTAAACTTTAATGTCAAGTTGTTGAAGAAGTAAGTCTTAGAGACCTACTTAGAGAACCAAGGTCCGTCATATGCCCTTGGAAAGTATTGACAGAGGTCAACCCTGTCAAATCCTCAGGGAATATTGAACATATTCTCACACTAGAAGATAGAAGTATAATCTGGAAACGGGGAGGATTTCTCACAGGGTACCAAGTCAAATATTATTGATTCACTTTTGTTAGTGGCTATTTATTATAGACAGCCTCAGGAATAAGGAAGAATTAATTCGGCTCAGCAACCATCACTGATTTTGAAGAAACACACATTCTTCTTCTTAATATGCTACATCCCGAGATAAAGAGGTTAAGATCCAGGATTGTGATAAGGTAAAAAGAAAAATGGGGGGGGGGGAGAGAGCTATTTTAGAGGTAAAATGTTTAGCTGATATTCACTGACATCTCAGTGTAATGAAGAATTAAATATAAACTTTAAGCTTCTGGATTATGAATTATAGCATAGTGTTTAGTTGACAAGAAAAAGATGAAAGCAGTTTGTATTGAGGCAGTACGTGCAGTTCAGGACAGATATCACTGAGGTAATAATTAACTGAGATGGTCAGTATGTACACTAAGCATGAAAACAAGTCAGTGGTTGATAAACGTGGTTTAATGGCTGAGAAGGTGCCCCTCCTTGCAGGAGGTACTTAGCCTTCTGAGCTTCCCTTTCCTTATCTATTAAACAGAATGAATAGAGGCAGGCAGAAAGGGGAGGGAAACCGGGGACGTTAGTGGTGGAATATGTGCATTGTTGAAGGGATGGGTGTTGGAACATTGTGTGACTGAAACCCAATCTTAAACGACTTTGTACTATGTATCTCACAGTGATTTAATTAAAACATATTCCAAAGAAATGGAATGAACACTGTATAACACAGTGTGAAATAAGTAGTTGGTTGAATATTAAAAGGTAAAAAAGGTAAAGGCCCTCCCGTTGATCGTCGATTTGCTCTAGCGGGCCCAGTAACGTCTCCATTGCAGACTTTGTTGTTACTGTGTCTGGCATATCGAATACTCCCGGTAGCTTGCCGGGCTCTCCGAGAGGGGCGGAGGAATCGAACTTGGGTCGGCCATGTTGGCTGCGTGCAAGGCAAACGCCCTACCCGCTGTGCTATCGCTCCAGGAGAGAAGGTTGAATATTAGTACCACCATTAATCACTAATAAAATAAGTTGTGAAAATCCAATTTTCAAAATTGGGAAATCCTATTTTCTTCTTCCTTGCCCTTCCCCATTCCTTCCATGGATCTCTTTCCCTTCCCCATTCCCTCCCCCCTCACCCTTTCTCCTTTTTCCCCCAAATAGTAAAATAACTCAGGTGTGTGTGTGTGTGTGTGTGTGTGTGTGTGTGTGTGTGCGTGTGTGGTGGGCGGGGGGGGGGCAGGTGTTGTTTGTTTTAAGGCAACAGATAGCAATGCTCTGGGCTTCCCTGGCTTTCTGCTCAGGGGACTAAATATAGTGCATGGAGACCAGATGTAGTGCTGGGCATTTGAACCAGGCTCGGCCACTTGCAGGGCCTTTCTCACTGTATTCTCTCTCTGATCTCTCTCTTTTTTGTTTGTTTGTTTGTTTTGGGGGGAACACCCAGTGATAATCGAGTTACTCCTGGTTCTGCACTCAGGAATTACTCCTGGTGTTGCTCAGGGGAACATATGGGATGCTGGGATGGAACCTGGGTCGACTGCAGGCAGTGCAAGCACCCTACCCCTATACTATCTCTCTGGCGCTAACAGTCAATTGAAAAACACCTTGGGGGCCAGAGTGATAGCACAGTGGGTAGGGTATTGCCTTGCACACAACAAACCAGGTTTGATCTTCAGCATCCCATATGGTCCCCCAACTGTGGCCGGAGTTACAGTACAGCGACTAAGGTGTTTTCCTTGCTCGTGGCCTACCTGGGTTTGAACCCTGGCATACCATATGGTCCCCTGAGCACTGCCAGGAGTAATTCTTGAGTGCAGAGCCAGGAGTAACCCCTGAGCATCACCAGGTATGACCCAAAAAGCCAAAATTATCCACCTTATGTAGCAAGCTAGCAAGAGTATCTCCCCCACACATCAAAGCCTGGCAAGCTCCCCCTGACGTATTCTATAAGCCAAAAACAGTAACAACAAGTCTCACAATTTGTTGTGAGACATTACTGGTGCCTGCTCGAGCAAATCGATGAACAACAAGAGGACAGTGCTATAATAATAAATGTATATTAGCCACTATAGATGGATAATTCTAGTTAAAAGTAGGGAAGAGGTGATAGTGCCTTCCCTTCCAAAAAAAATAAAATGGGAAAGGTGAATAAAGGAGCTTCCTGAGTAAGTAAAAATCTCCTTTACAATATTATCAAAGTTTTAAAAGTTGCATGTTTGGTATCTAAAACTAGATTAATTTTTCCCATTTTTGTACTTGAAGTAATATTCTTTCAAAATAGTGCCAACATATTCTCAGCTTAAAAGAAGCTTGAAACAGTATAAAATATTAATAGTCCTGTGGAACACACAATAATTTTTAAATCTTTTTACGTGCAATTGCCTTTTAGTTTTTATATTTCTTTACTGGGAAGGAAATTATAATTTCACTTTATTCTTCAGGAAATCTAAAACTTTTCCCTACAGAGCTTCACTCCTTCATGTGTAGCTTGGTGAGCTTTTCTTACCAAAATAATGACCAAAATTCGATAAGTTACAGTGGATAGTTACTGTCAATACCCATTCTGTCACTTTTATTAATAGAGGCAAATTCTTCTAGGGAAAGAATGCATGCTTTCTAAATATTTATTCATTTCTTGCATACATATGGATTTTTAAGCTAGAATAATCTCACATTCATTGGAACTTTTTCAAACTTCTGCATGGCTATTGAAAAGTCAGAGAAATGAAGTTTTAGACAATAAAGGGAAAGAAAATTACTTTAAGAGACAATTCAATACGTTGTCAGATTGCTTTCTTAAAATCCGAGCAGCTGGCACAGACCTCAAGATTTAACCATATATTTGCCTTCGCTATTTAAAAATAAGCAAGCACTAACATTTTTCTTAAAAGTTCTGTTTCCAGCCCCCACTCATCAGGAGATAGTCAGAACACATTTTTGATAGAGAAGTGTGAGATTAGAAAAAAACAGTGTGATTATTAATACTGACAAAAAAGCAATTGGTCATTGTAAAGACTTTCACTTGGTTTTCTTTTTTTTGGCTTTTTTTTTAAGTTTGTGGGTCACACTGAAAATGCTCAGATCACTCCTGGTTCTGCACTCAGCAATTATTCCTGACAGTGTGATGGTATTGGAAAGGATCAAACAATGGGATGCTGGGGACTGAACCCGGATGAGGCACGTGCAAGGCAGGTGTCCTACCCATTGTACTATTTAGTCTGAGTGGAAAAGGGAAGCATTTCAGAGTTTTAAACATGTGAATGACATGACTTCACTTGCATTTTAGAAGAAGTCGCTTTAGCTTCGGTGTAAGATCTCTAAGGAATTGAGAGAAGTGGGGTGAGCAGCAGAAAACACCTGTGGAAATTCAGGCAAGAGATGAGCGTGGCCTGGAGCAACCAAAGTCTTGAGAAGAAATGTTCAGGGAGTGTTCTGAGGAGATGCTGAGTATTTTTAGGACATGGAGGCTGAGAGATGGAGGTTCAGATTAAAAATTTGACCCAAATCATTGAAACCAAAATTGATCACCAGAACAATCTCCATGGAGGACATGGAGGAACAAACTTGGGATTAAAATCAAGAGTTTCATAGCAGATAAGTCAAATGTAGAAGTGTGGAGTCTGCCAATGACATTGGGTTGGTGTTATGCATTTGGGAGTCTGGAAAATGGATGACAATTTAAGGTATATGATCTTAAGAGAAAAGTTAAAGAGAAATAATAAATACAATGAAGTAGAAACTAAAAGTTAAGACCATGACGAGTCTGGGAGAAGAAAAGGAGATGAAGAACGGATATTTGGTGAAGGGGGAGCAAAGCAAATGACAGAGGTGAAGAGAGCTTATTTCAAGATGGGGAGGGTACAGTGTCAAATCTCCTGGAAGATAATGCACGTCGGACAGGAGCCCTTGGGAACTCTAATGGGACATTTCAGTGGCACAAGGTGATAGAAGCCTGCTTGAAGTATGCTCTAGCACGGACTTGGGAAGGATGAAAGAAAAATATAGATACAGACAATTTTTTGGAAGGATTTTTCTGCAGACTAAAAAGAATTTTTAAAATTAGGGTGGTGGAAAACACCCCAAAGGAGAGAGAGAACAGAGGCGAATGCCCTGCCACAGAGGCAGGGTGGGATGGGGTGGATGGGGGGTGGGAGGGAGACTGGGATCCGTGGTGGTGGGAAATGGGCACTGGTGGAGGTATGGATATTTTATCATTGTATAATTGAAACCCAAGCACAAAATTTTTAAGTCTACAACTGTACCTCATGGTGTCTCACAATAAAAATAATTTAGGGTGGTGGCTGATGAGAGAATGATATAGAGTCTTGTTTTTATGTTCTAGGGTATGAGAACTATTTGTAGTATATTCATTTGCTACTAACTTCATATGGTGTGAGAAACCGTATTAAGAATCAGAAGGGAAAAGATCAGCTTTGGGGTCAGTGGACCAAGTACTTGTTCTGACATTTACTGGTTGTGGACCCGAGGCAAGAAATAGCAGCTTTTAAAAAATGAAGTAAGACAGGTGTGTAAGGAAGTTGGCAGAATGTTCTGGAATATATTTAAGTGTACTCAAGGTGAGTGTGAAGGCAAAACATTCCTGACAGATGGAGGAGGCCTACAGGATTGGGATCTCTCAGTGGGTAAAATAGAGTGGCTGAGTGCGTGACGGGTGAGGCTACTCCCAAGGGTGAACGTGCAGATAGTCAGGGCCCAAACCACAGAAAGTCTTGTAATGTTATACTGAATGATTTATGCTTTATCGCACACAAATTGGGTAGCCATTGATGGATTTTATAAACCTATACAATCTGTTTCTGTGCTCTAGAAGGGGACTTTGTAATGGAAGGTTGGGTCCTTGGTCAAGGAAATAAAGAACCTGAAGCAGAGCCGGGAAGATCAAGGTCACCACAACCATGGACAAGGGAGATTTGCTTAGGGGGCAGGAGCCCAGAATGTCAGGATCCACCACCTCTACTGACTGTGGTAACAAGCACTCAATCTAGTAGAAATAATTTGACACCAAATTTGATCACTGGACTCCTAGAAATTCTGGTGCATTAGTATCAGCGTGAAAGCACAATACTGATATTTAAATTGCCTCCCACTCTGAGGTGGGAAGAAAACTGGCCCTTAGCAAAGCAGTGGAGAAACCAGAGAAAGAATTGAAGCCAGTGGAGTAGGGCAAAACTAGAGCACTAGAAATTATTGAAAACAATCACAGATGGGTCCTAAGAGTGCTCTGAGATTCTGAAAGATGAGAGATGACTTTGAGGTAGAAAGGGAGGGATGGAGATAAGGATCCTATCAAGAAGGGTCATTTATTTTGTGATTAAATAGATCTCTATGAAGTGAGGAAGATCCAACCACCCCAGTGAAATGATAGTTTAACGTGATGTAGGTAAGGACTATCATATGATTTCATTTTAAAAATAAAGTTATAATTGGATTTTGTGGAAGAATAGAGATTGCATGCCAGTGATTGCTTTATTCCCTGGTAACCACATTTAGATTTCTGACCTCCTTTTCCAAATACAGAGTATCCTTGTGTGCACAACCTTCAAATGATGAATAAATCTTTGCTTTTGCCAGTTTCCCTCTTTGATCGGTTGGTTGATTATGAATTGGACACATGTCTAGGTTTTTTGTTTGTGGGCCACACCCAGCACTGTTCAGGAATTACTCCTGGCTCCAGGCTCAGTAATTAATTCTGATAGTGCTCGGGGACTATATGGGATGCTGGGGATTGAATCCGGCTCAGTCCCACACAAGGCAAAAGCCCGACCCACTGTACTATGGCTCCAGATCCACATGTTTAAGGCTTCTAACCAGATTTCTTATTTGTTGAGTTCAACAGTCAGCTGTCTGGTAACATTGGACATTCGTCACATCCCAGAATCAAATCATCTTTATTATTTCATCTTTAAATAACTCTTATCTTTCAATTAAGAAATAGGCAAAGAAATGTGTATCAGGGATACGATCCTGCCAGAATAAAGATTAAACTTACGTTTCATTCCAGTTAACCAAAGAAAAAAGCAGCTTTTTGGCTGGAATATGTCTGCAGTTTCTCACTTGGCACAACTTCCTTCCAGCATATGTGAGCCAACAGGAAAAGGAAAATACTTTATAGCTGAAAAGAGACAACATTGATTCAAAACACAGAACACTCTCAGCGTAATGGTTTCTATGTAGGTCAATTGTTTTAATAGTTCAGTGTCAAAGGATAACGTGCTGTTGGCTTGTAGAGAGCATGCTTTGAAAAGTACCTTAAAGGCGTGTGTTGGGGAATGTCCGCAAGCTTGGGAGGATCAGAACTTCCTTTCTCCCCGAGACATCATTTCAGTTACTCTACCCAGGCCAGTTCCTTTTGTGAGAAACCAGGGCTCCTGCTCCCCAGCATGTACGAAAGCAGCAGCAGAGAAATCAGGAGGGGAAAATTGTGGCACTTCTTCATCAAAGTCTTCCTTTCAGCAGAGTGGGGTGAGATCAGGAAGAAACTTTCAACTTCGAGAAGTCTACAGCAATGTATACATGTTCAGCATTTGTATTTTTAAAGAGTGTCTCTAAGAAAGTGTGTTTTTGTTGTTGTTGTTTTTGTTTTTTTGTCTTTTTTTTTTTTTTTGCGGTGGGGTGTTGAGAGGTGGTGAGGAGTATGGTTGCTTTGTTGTTTTTTTTTTTTTCTGGTCCCACCTGGATATCTGTGCTAAGTAGGAAGATGCCAGGTTTGGACGTTCTGAGAACAAGGTAATGATTAGAATTAGTATAAACTGACTTGCTTCTTTCCTTTCCCTTAGTTCAGTGATAAATAGACCAGAGAAAACTCCCATCTTTTTTTTTCTTCTTTTTGGGGTCACACCCAGTAACACACAGAGGTTACTTCTGCACTCAGGAGTTACTCCTGGTGGTGCTCAGGGGACTATATGGGATGCTGGGAATTGAACTCGAGTTGGCTGCATGCAAGGCAAACGCCCAACCCACTGTGCTATCTCTCCAGCCCTGAAAATTCCTTTCTTTTTGATTGCTTCCTGTGGGGAGAGACTTGGAATACTCCAGCTCCTTGGGGCCTGTGCCAGGGCCTGTTTTCAGTTGTCCCTATCCTTGAGAACAAATGGAAGCTGAAAAACTCTGGATTCCTGGACTCTGGACTAGTGTAATCCAAATTCAGGAGACTTGTAGAGCTGGGGAAGGCATCTAGCTTCCTGGTTTCTTCTGGAACTATCTAAGGGACCACTTTTTAGTTCCCCAAACTCAGAGCATACTTGCATACTCTGAATTAGTTCTTCTCAAGCATTCTTTAACTTTTTCTTCATTATTGATCTGGTTTTGTTTTCACTTATTTCTTCTATTTCTTCTCTGTCCCATTCCTGCTCTTTGTCCTGTGGGTCTCATTTATGCTATTTTACCTGTGTTCCCTTTGGAGTAACCTAGGAATCTTTGTCGGCCATTTGCCTTGGTTGAGAAATGCTATTTTGGATAACCAGGAAGAGGTGACAACAAAAATCAAAGTTGAGCAACTTTCTGCAGCACCAAAGAATGCACAGCATCACAGAGACAAGAGAAAGGAGAAATTCTGAGCTCTTGAGAGAATGCAATAACGTCCCCAATGGAAATTTTACATGTGCAACCTCAGAGATTTACCTACAGAAAATGCTTGACAGGCCCCAAGATCCCTAACTAGACTGGTGACATTCTCTCCCTTTACAAAACCAATCACAGAGAGAAGTATATTATTTCCAACCCACGCATCCCAATACAGAGTAACAAAGGAACAAAATAAATGAAACAAAACTCCCAGAACTGGAATTATATGAATTATATCATAGAGAATTCAAAGTTAACTATCATAAGGAAAATTATACATAAAATTATTATATATTAAAAAAGAAAGAAAATAGGGGCCGAAGAGATAGTACAGTGTGCTGGAGTATAGGCATTGCATGAAGTAGTCCTGAGTTCAATTCCCTGTACTTAATGTTTCCCAAGGCATCAATATTAGCAACTCATGTAAGCACAGAGCTGGGAGAACCCCTCAACCCTGTCATGAGAGCCTCACTACAATGTTCTTAAATCACACTACTGTTGGAGATAAAGAATACAATAGATAGCTTAATTGAACAAACATCACTGAAGGAGTTCAAGAGCATACTTGACCTAGCAGACAAGAAAAACTTAAGATTATAGTGATCGCGGGCTGTAGGGATTTTGGTGGTACTGAGGTGCAATTAACTGAGGTGCAATAATTACTGAGGTGCAATAATTTTATTCATCAAAACCATAAATGTTAAGTGTTAACACTATTGTAGTTGTGTTTCATAAACTAAAATGCAAATGAAATATTTTTAAACCCTCATAAATTAAAAACAATAAAATAATCAAAGATACAACCCTGGAAATTATCCAGTCAGAAGACAAGAGATTGAAGAAAGTCTGAAGGACTTATGGTAATTAAAGTTGAACAAGAGTAATCACAGTTATATAAGATAGCATGCCGAAAGCAAAAACTGTCCCAAGAGACAAGGGATATTGTATAATGATAAAGGAGTCAATTTGTCAAGAGTGCATAACAATGATAGATACAGACAGATAGATGTAGAGATAGATATAGATATGTACCCAAATTGGGAAAGGTTTATTAAGGAAACAAGGACAGAACTGAACAGGTATCAGCACCCATTTTTTTTTATTACTTACTTTTCCTACTAGATAGAACAACCAGAAAAGCTCAGTAAGGAAAAAAAAAAGGTTGTTCATAACACTTTGGAAGAAGGGGGACTTAAAGATATACTCAGAATGTTTTTCTAACAGCAACAGAATACACACCCTTCTCAATCCAACACAGAGAAATTTTTCAAAGCTAGATCACACTAGGCTACAAAACAAGTCTTAATATAATATACGAACCTGAAACCAGACCTATTGTATTGTTTTTCCCAGGACAGAATGCACATGAAAACCAGTAGCAGAAAAAACTCCTGAATATTCATTTAACAGATAGATATTGTCATATTTTAACAACCAGTGGGTTATACACAAAAACAAAGAAATGAAAATGAACATATACCAGGGCAAAGCTTGGAATAGCAAAAGCAATACTTAAAGGTCATACTAGAAATACCTGTATTATAAAAGAATCTCTCTCTCTTTCTCTCTCTCTCTCTCTCTCTCTCTCTCTCTCTCTCTCTCTCTCTCTCTCTCTCTCATATACACACCCATACATGAACACACACAGAGATTTTATACTCAAGGGCCTAGAAAACTGGACAAATAAGAGTTAAAGTTAAAATTAAAAAAGGAAATAATAGCGGCTAGAGGAATAGTGCAGTGGGTAGGGCATTTGCCTTGCATGTTGCAGACCTGGTTATAAACTGTAGCACCACTTTTGCACCCCAAGCCTGACAAAAGTATTCCCTGAGCATATCCAGGTGTGGTCCAAAAATGAGGGATAAAAGAAGGAAATAGAAATAAATAAAGCAATTGAAAAACATTAAGGTAAAAAAAGGTAAAGGCCCTCCCGTTGATCGTCGATTTGCTCGAGCGGGCCCAGTAACGTCTCCATTGGAGACTTTGTTGTTACTGTGTCTGGCATATCGAATACTCTCGGTAGCTTGCCGGGCTCTCCGAGAGGGGCGGAGGAATCGAACTCGGGTCGGCCATGTTGGCCGCGTGTAAGGCGAACGCCCTACCCGCTGTGCTATCGCTCCAGCCCCTACTGTCACACCATATATAAACGTATACTAAATGTAAACAGGTTTATCTATAATTATCTGAATGTATAGTTTTTCATGTTAATTAAGATCAATAAGTTTATATTAATGGTTAAATATTTTATTACATTATGTATAAATTATTTTAAATTCTTTTAAAAACTAAGAGAAAAATCATAAAAGAATCTTTATGTATTCTAAAGGAAAATGCCTGAGCACAGTTACAGATAGTGTTTTTTATATATGAAAGTAAAATCACCTTTCTGATTCTATATTTGTACAACTTAGTTATTTGAGAAAACATAAAGATGACTATCTTTATTGATATTTTTCTTCTTTTCTTTGAAATATTTTATCCATAATAGATCTATTAGTAACTATTCTCTTATCAGCTTCAACTTATTGGGTCATTATGTCACTAAAAACTTAAACATTTTATAAAAAAATTTAAAAAAAAATTAAAACATGTTATTATATTCAAATATTGTGTGGACAATGGGTATTAAGTGTCTTATGATGTGTCCGGAAAGTTGTCTGGAGCATGGCAGCGACTGGGTAGTAGAAGTTGGCTGATGAAATATTTATCGCACCAGCAGGGTGGGTCTTCTGGGTGTGGTCCCTGGGTCACCAGGGATTGGTGGTAGCAGGACAGGATTCTGTTTCCAGGTCCCATTGTGCCTGGAGTCCAAGGTCACAAAGTTCTGCTTTACTAGGTTTTGTGAGGTTTCACTCATGCATGAGGCTCAGCCCGAGCATGTGGAAAGTGGCCTGGAACATGGCGGCAGCAGGGTAGTGGAGGCTCAAATATTATGTGAACCATGGGAACACCTGTAAGGGTGATTAGAAGCCACTCTAAAAGCCTCCTCCATGCCTCTTGGAGACCCGGCAAGCTGCCGAGAATATCCTGCCCACACAGCAGAGCCTGGCAAGCTACCCGTGTCATATTCAATATGCCAAAAACAGTAAAAACGATGGGCCTCATTCCCCCTGACGCTGAAAGAGCCTCCAATATAGCAGTGTTAAGAAGGATGAGCAAGGAGAGGCCTAATAAAATCTCAGGGCCAAACTAGGCTGCCAAAACGAAGAAGGACTAAAATGACTGTCTGGACTTTCAACATACACACGCTGGCATCGGAAGTATCCATCAAGGAACTGATGCAAGTGCAGAAGATCTGTAGGACATCATTGGTCTGACTGAGACGAGAGGGCATCGATCACATCACTCCATTTTCGACATTGGAGAACTGTTGCTCAGAATATACGACAAAAGAGGAGTTGGTGGTGGCGGTATCCTTATCAACCATATCCACATGGTGACTGAGCTCATTGAGGTTTCTCGGGTGTTCAAGATGCTGGTCTGTCTAACGGTCATTGATTTAAAGGCCTTTGATTCTGTTGAGATGGAAGCGGTCATTGAAGCCCAAGCCAAACAGAGCGTTCAAACTCAATTCATCAGGATCCTCTATGAGCTATATTATGGATTCACTACCAGGTTCTCACCATTCTCCAAAGAAGTGATCATCAATGTCAAGAGAGGGGTTCGGCAGGGTGATACCAGTTCACCGAAACTCTTCAGTGCCACCCTTGAGAATGTCATGTGATGACTGGAATGGGAAGTAATGGGAGTGAAGATAGACGGTTGACAACTACACCACCTCTACTTCATTGATGACATCGTTCTAATAACACCAAACAGTAGCTAAGCGGCACAAATGCTGGCTGACGTTGACCGTGAGTGTGGAAAGGTCAGACTGCAGCTGACTCTCACCAAGGCAATGTTCATGAAAAATGAACTAAACCCTGATGTTCTGTTTGCTCTCAATGGAATGACCATCTCTGAATGCAGCAGCTATGTGTACCTGGGTCGAGAACTCAACATGAGGACCCACTTGGTGCCAGAACTGCGCAGGAGGAAGAGAGTGACTTGGAATGCTTTCAAGAGCATTGAAGAAGTTGTTAAGAGGATGAAGAACCTCCGGCTCTGGGCACATCTTTTCGACTCCCCTGTTCTTCCTGCACTAACATATGCCTCAGAGACCTGGGCCCTACAAAAAACAGGATGAGAACACTATTCGGGTATCCCAAAGAGAAATCAAAAGAGCTGTGCTTGGAATATTCCATTTTACTCAAGTGAGAAGGAATTTGGAGTTCCGGCCTCCATGGACGATCAAGAACCAGGAACACTGTCTTGTTTGCCAAGTCATTGAAAATCAGATGGGCCGGACACGTAATGCAATTTAGAGACAACCGCTGGACTAGAGCTGTTACCGACTGGATTCCACAGGACGTCAAAAGGCTGCATGGTCACCCACCTATGAGATGGTCAGACTTCATCAAATCCCTGACCAAAGGATTTGAGGCTCTTCATGTTCCTGGAGCGAGCAGTTACCATTGGGCTACACTAGCATGCAACAGGAATGAATTGAGACGTTACTGGTGCTCACTCGATCAAATAGATGAATAACGAGATGACAAGTGATACAAGTGATTATATTACTCTATTATTGAAAAAATACACAATAGACCATCTAAAATCTTGCAACCACCATAGTGGTCATAATTTGTTGTCACTTGCATAACTCTTGCCCAATTCTTAAAACCCACAAAATGTTGACTACCCACAACCTAAAGGGAATCATGTTGAATTTTCTTCCTATTTTAAAATATTGTCCATCTCCTTATATCTATATAGGCTTTCCTTTTTATATAGCCATTCATCATTGAATCTCAAATATAGAAAAGACAATCATAAAATAGAATGAGTATTTTCTGTTTCCGTAATAATATGTTGACAATATGAAGCATAATTTTAATATGGGAAATAAAGTGTTAAACATGTTTTTATGAGTGAAATCATATTGTTCATCTCAAAATCACTTTGTAAAGCTTCATTCAGTATACACTACTTAAAGAAAGCTGACAAACTAAATAAAAATAAACTTTTATATTCGAAGACCAAATTAGTGTCCCCCTGCAGGGATAGGCATAAATAGATGTAAGGAAATCTGGCATTAGAGGCAAGAACAGGGTGAGGAGTACAAATAAGTTTTCAGTGGTGAGCTTAATGGACACATGTGTTGACAGCCTATGAAACCTGGGCACATGTTTATTTATTTATAATTCACAACTGACAAAGAATGCAATGTTAGATCAATGAAATTTACTTTAATTATAAGTTTACAAATTATAAAAATGAGGATACATATAAAATTTCAAATGTTTTTGTGAAATGTTAATTTTTACAAATAACTACAAGCCAAATTACACTCTAATTAGAGGCAATGTCAAAACTAAGTGTGTGAAACACCCATTACCACTCACCTGTGGACCCAGGTCTCTGGAATGTTGTGAGCTGCGTAGAGTGTGAAGGTGAGGTGGGAATGCAGCCCAGGGTTTACATAGGAAATGCTAGGAGGTGCAGTAAGAGGCTGGAAATCTGCATAAAAGCTGCTGCAGTAGATACCAATTAGCTGGTAGATGGACACAGATAGGTCACTTGTCACTTTCTCTATTAATCCTAAGGAGTAAAGGAAGATAGAAGTCAGTTCTCTGAAGGGCCATATTTATCATAAGCCATCAATTACAGCTTTGAAGTGGTTCATAATGCAATTTAAATCAAATTTAATTAAAATGACTGAAGCCAGTTAGCCACCCAGACTACAGTATGCAGTGAAACTAATCAATAAGCTTTCCTATTGAAATGTCTGTGGACATTTGGGAAATATGGCTTTAATCAAAAATGAGAGTTTTGGATTATTCATTTGGTGTTTGGATCAACTGCAATTTGCAATATTTCTTGTGCATGATTGTGTAGAACTAATTTTCAGACAAGGAAGATGTTTTCTACATGGAACTTAAAGCAAACTCCATTAAGAAAAGTAATTACAATAAACTTGATAATGCTATGACATTTACTATTAACTAGACACTGATATACCTGGTGTGATTCTAAAATGATAATGGTAATAACGCATGATTGAAACCTAAAATGAACTTGAAATGCAACCTCTTTGAAATAAGCCTTATTTGAATTTTACCTTCAAATATTTAATGGGGTTCTACTAATTATTTCTATTTTTATTTATTTATTTATTGGATCAACAGTGACATGTTGTCTCAAAATTCCAAATGGGATTGGACCACCATCTCCTTCATGCAAAAACTACTTCATGGAGTGGGGAGAAAGGTCTGTAAAGTTTAAGAAGAGAACTCCCAGAACGACCACCAACTGGGAGCTCTTTTGCACTATTGCTGCAACATGGGAGGATGCTGTCCTTGACAACATTGACGAGGAATACAATCGACTGGTACAGCACCTCCATGATTGTGCGAGGAACGCCAAGAGAGAGAGATGACCACAAAAAGACACCAGTCTTCGAAAACTCCTGAGCTCATTCACAAACGTGGCTTGACACACGCCTCAGGCAACCGCAGAGAACATTTGAACTTGCAAAGCAGTGCAGAGAAGCGATAAAGGAAGACCTCAAAGAGAGAAGTGCAGCAGTACTAGTAGATGCAGCAGAAGCCAGGAAAAGCATTCGTAACACCCGCCTGTCCTTCACCAACTATAAGACCAAGATGACTGCCCTTTGATGACATGATGGATCTATCACATCTTCCAAAAGGGAAATGGAGAATATTATCAATGATGGCTACTTGGATCTCTTTGATAGTCACATCCACCTGACCACGTACCAAATTCCACAGGATGGATATGTCATTCCCAACCTTCTCCCTTTTGAAATAAGACACGCCATTTCGTCGATAAAGAAGCAAACAGCACCTGGCCTAGACAAGGTGAGACCCGAACACCTGAAGAACCTGCCATCAGTACTCATCAATACACTGGCATGGCTCTTCACACACTACCTGTCTGAATGCAAGTTTCCATCCCAATGTAAAGTCAGCAGGACCATTCTACTGCACAAGAAGGGAGACATCCACAACATAGGTGACTATCTACAAGCAGTTCATTTGAGTTCATTCTAAATAGCATTGGCAGAACACGAGATGAAGGACAACCATGTGAGCAAGCTGGGTTCTGCAAAGGATTCAGCATGATAGACCATATCCACACGATAACCAAGTTCACTGAGGTTTCTCGGGAGTTCGAGATGCTGCCTATTGATTTAAAGGAGGCCTTTGATTCTGTTGAGGCAGAAGTGGTCATCAAAGCCCTAGCCAAAGAGGGCATTCAAACTCAATACATCATTATTCTCCATGAGCTCTATTACAGATTCACTACCAGGATCTCACCATTCTACAAGGAAGTGATCATCGATGTCAAAAGAGGGGTTCAGCAGGGTGATACCATGTCACCGAAACTCTTCAGTGCCACCCTTGAGAACGTCATGCAATGACTGGAGTGGGAAGGAATGGGAGTGAAGATAGATAGTCGGCAACTCTGCTTCACTGGTGACATTGTTCTAATAACACCAAATATTAGCCAAGCAGCACAAATGCTGGCCGACTTTGACCGTGAGTGTGGAAAGGTCGGACTACAGCTGATCTCACAAAGATAATGTTTATGAGAAATCGTCTCATTCCTGATGTTCCATTCGCTCTCAGTGGAACAAACATCTGCGAATGCAACAGTTTTGTATACCTAGCTTGAGAAGTCAACACGATGAATGACCTGGCACCTGGGTTATGCAGGTGGAAGAGAGAAGCTTGATACCTTCAAGAGCTTCAAAGAAATAACTAAGAGGACAAAGAACCTCTGGCTCCAGGCACATCTCTTTGATTCCACTCTTCCTCCTGCATTAACATATGCCTCAGAGACCTGGTCCCTAAGAAAGCAGGATGAGAACACTACTCGGGTCTCCCAAAAAGAAATTGAAAGAATTATGCTTAGAGTATCACGCTTCACTCAAATGAGAGAAAGAATCCAGAGTTCCGACCTCCATTAATGATCAAGAATCAGGGATGCTGTCTCATTTGCCAAGGTGTTGAAAATCAGATGGGCTGGACATATAATGAGATTTGGAGACGACCGATGGACTAAAGCCATTACCGACTGGATTCCACGGGACATCAAAAGATTGCGTGGCCGCCCACCTACAAGATGATCAGAGTTCTTCGTCAAGACCCTGAACGATCAGTTTGAGGCTCTTTGTGTTCCTAGAATGAGCAGACGCCATTGGGCTACACTAGCAGGTGATAGGGAAGAATTGGAGATGTTATTGGTGCACACTTGAGCAAATCGTTGAGTAATGGGATGTCAAGTGATCAAGTGATCAAGTGATTTATTGGGTGGGTAGAGCCACACCTGGCTCTGCTCAGGGTTTATTCTTGGCTCTTTGCTCTGGGATCACTCTTGGCAAGGCCCAGAGGATCATATGAGATGCTAGGGATCAAACCCAGATCTGCCATAAGAAAGGTAAGTGCTTTATCTACTACAGTATTTCTATAGCCCAAACTATTTCTCAAAGTAATTTTTAGAAAGAAAATAAGTGTAGAAAAACAACTAAGAACAGAGTCAAATAGATTTCAATATGTATTCAATAAAGACACACCCATATTTCATAATGCAAATGGGCTACATGAAGAGGATTACTGAATCATCAAATTTTAAAGAAAATTTCTAAGAATCACATTTTCTCTTTCAATAAAATCTCTTTACTGGAGAAATTCATGATAGCAAAGATAAAGAAATAATAGATGAAATGAGCTAAGTAGAGCAGGTGGCCTTTGATCCAAATTGATGTAAATAGTTTCATTACAAATGAAGATACTTATGATGAACATTCTTCCACGACCTCTTAGTGAAGCCAGGGGACATATTAAATACTAGTACTTATATACATTTGTGAATGACAAAAGTCCTATAATCATCATAACTTGCAATTATTTCTGCTTTACTATTCAATTATAGTCATGTTTATAAAGTGAAAATTATTTTTGAAAAACTCAAAACAATTTTTACCCAAATGAAGAAATCTTTAAGTGACAAATATTTAAGTTTCATGAGTTTTTAAAAAAGAATATAGAAGGCCAATAATATATTGGGTGGGATGCTAGTTGCACAACTGACCTGGGTTCAAACCCCAGCATCCTATGGTCCCCAGAACCCCTCAGAAGTGATTCCCAAGCACACAGCCAGGAGTAAGCCCTGAGCATGTCCAGGTGTGACCCAAAAACAAATGAAAAAAATAATAAGCGATTATATGAGGTGAAAATACTTTATGGGTGAAAGAGTAAATTACCAGCCCTCATAATTGATAAACTGTGGAGGGAGACATAGGGTCATGCTCCAGCTGTAGATCTGTTGGTGGTCCCTCAGGTCCAGTCCATGAAACTGGCCTCTCTACACCCCACCAGGTCCTTCTGGACGACAGCAGATGGGAAGAAAATGTCGCAATATTAAGTCTGATCTGATCTCAACATTTCCCTTTTGCACACTGCAAAGGCAGAAGCACCATGATGCCACGAGGTGGCTATGTCTGCTTTTCTGTCACCTCCTCCAGGAAGTCTGAATGTGACATTATGGCAAAGCACCAGGGCGAGAGCACACCTCCGTGGGTGGTCACAGGGACACTTTCGCAGGGACTGGGCCCAGATAGGAAGAAGCACTTCTTCTAAGTTACTTCTGAAGCCAACATTCCTTTTTGGGGTTCCTAGGGCTTGGGATTTTGAAGAGCAGAGAGTACCAATAACTTCCATTTCCTGCAGGATTTTTTACCCTTCCTTCCTTCCTTCCTTCCTTCCTTCCTTCCTTCCTTCCTTCCTTCCTTCCTTCCTTCCTTCTTTCACTGTGAGATAGTTACAAGTACTCATGTTTGAGTTACAATCACACAATGATCAAACACCCATCCCTCCACCAGTGCACATTCCCACCACCAACATCCCCAGTATAACCCCCCTTTCCCATCCTCTCACTGCCTCCATGGCAGATAATATTCCCCGCAATATGGATACTGAGAGGTTATCATGTTTGGTCCATTATCTACTTTCAGCACACATCTCCCATCCTGACCGAATCCTGAAACCATCATTTTCTTAGTGATCCCTTCACTATTCCAGCTGCCTTCTCCCCTCCACTCATGAGACAGGCTTCCAGCTATGGAGCAGTCTTCCTGGCTCTTATATCAACTGTCTTTGGGTGTCAGTCTCATGTTATGTTATTTTACATTCCACAAATAGGTGCAGTTCTGCTATTTCTGTCCCTCTCTTTCTGATTCATTTCACTTAGCATGACACTCTCCATGTCTATCCACTTATAAGCAAATTCACTGTTTCCTTGCTCAAGCCTGTGATGGGCAGAGAAGAAGCCGCCTTCAGCTTGGCACATCCCACTCCGTGTCCTTCCACAGAGCTTTCCTGTAATTAAACATTTTGTTGTTGTTGTTCAAGACATACTATTATTCACTTAGCTATTCATATATTTGTACCAAATGTGTAAAATAGCCAAATTTTACTTATTTTATAGTGTTCTCCAATTGTGCCCTTTGTTAAAACAGCCTGAAGGGACAAAGTAGAATGAAAGCGCACTAATCAGAATTCTCCAAGGATTCCTCGGCAGCAATTAATGAAACAGAAGAGGAAAACAGCATAAAAATAGTCTGAAAAGAGGCCTCATCAAAGTCTGGAGGCCACCCAATTGGGATTTTCCTGTGCAGGCGGCAGAGAATTATACACTTATTGAAACATCTTGTCTCTAGTCCCAGAATTGTACTGTTGATCCTCTGAAACAGGAAACACCAACTTCTGATTAATCATCCCTAATCTTGTGCCAGCGAAAAGGCTTCTACAATTAATCATAAATTAATTGTAGAAGAAATCATAGTAATTTAAGCCCTAGCACATTTGAGGGATAATCTTAATTATCTTGATAATTACTCGAACACTTTTTTTTATGCAGAAATGCAGTTTTGGTTCTCATTTACTTTTCCATGGTATACAAAGAAGCGTCCTTTGCAATGTACTTTATTACCAAAACTCTGTGTATAGGATACATTGCTAATATTAGAAATGTATTCAGGATCCAGGTTATCGGGTTTGGTTAACAAAATATGGAATCGTGATTTGGAGCACAGCTGATTTTAGTCTGATAAAGGAGTGACAGAACCATGAAACAAAGGGATGGTGCCACTATAAATGTAAGGAAGAATATTTAGCACAAATATTGGTTGATGACAACAAAACATAGAGGGGTCTGACATCAGTGCTGTCTATGTTAGTCTCATATTCCGTGAGAGGTGGTTGAGGGCATTTTGTTCCAATATTCCTAACAGAAAGTAAGAGGTCAGCAATTCTTTCTTGGCTTACCACCAGCTTTCTCATTCTCTATTATTTGGATACAAAGGTACCCACTGATTGCTTTTCTCAAAAGTGTTCTTGGGTGTAATAAACTTCTGAAACAGGGATGGTTACACTAGCAGGTTTTTCTCCACACTCTATTTACTATATTATTTTTTCTTTGTGATGTGATGTGATGTGATGTGAATCAAGTGAAAACATTCAAATATGTTTTGAATATGGTGGGATTTAGAGTTGAAAGGCTATTTGTCCGGTTGTACTGAAAGTGATGATGGATATGGAGGGTGGGTTGGGGAATTGAGCTGCAATTTAATGTCACTTCTAAATTTAAGTGTTAGATGAACATTTGTGACTCAGTTTCTTTGATGTTTTTCATGTTCAAATGCCAAATACCATCTGCTGAGCACACTAAAAAGCCCTAGCCACATCGCATACATTAGGTGTTATATATTTTATGTATTTTAGGAATTGAGGATCAATGAGTTTCATGATTTAAGCTTGATGAAGAGTGGCAAAAGTTGAAATCCAAAACCAGTTTTGTCTGATTTCCAAAACTAGGTTATACACCACACTTGCTTACACTCACTATTATCTATATAACAAAGTTCTCTTTCCTGCAGTTTCATCATAGACTTAGAACTTTTGTGAAGACTAACTACCAGAATGCAATCACCCTACCTATTAAGTTAAATTGGTCTTTCAAACAGAGCTGGAATTTAAATTTGAGATGAAGGATTTGGGAGAAAGTCTGCCACTGTTTTTGACTTCTTTCATCAAGTATATTATTGGTCAAGTAATAACATTTTGTAATCTTTTGAAATGATTATAAGAATATCTTTAGTATTTCTGGAATATTTTTCAGCTCTTTTGCCATTTCCAATTTTAGAAAGAAACTTAGGCTAAAAGTTTAGAGTGAACTTTCAGTCATTCACAGAAAATTTCCAGTTCTAACAAATATTTAAGCAAAGTATTTACTCTCAAAAAATTATGTATATATTTGTTTCCATAAAAATGGAATAAAATTAATTAAGTTATATTTTGTTTTATAACTTGTTATTAAAAAATTACATAGATAAATGTTTTACCTTTTGTTGATGTCTCTGAATTTTGAGGAAAATTCTGCAAAAGAGATAAGTCACAATGGTAATTAAGGGAATAAACTCATAAAAGAATCAAACAAATAATTTTTAAAATCTAAACTCTGAATTTGGTCTGGAAATATAATGATATAAAATATATTTAGTGTTACATATCACTGTTGCCTATCAAAACAGAAAACATGAATTATAAAATAGAGGAAAACCTTTTTGAATTGTATAATGTACAATTATGTTATATACTTTGTTGCTAAAATAAACTTAGCCCTTAGATCCATTTTAAACTTAATTCCTCTTCCATAGAAAAAACTTATCTTTTCATGCAGTGAATTTCTAACCCTGTTTAGTATCTCCAGTTCTTTTTTATTTAAATAAGATTAAGTTATGATATTTATATATTTTAAATATTTAATATAGTTGTACGTTTGATTTATAATATATCTTTTTAATTTCTTATCTTATAATACATATATTCCAGTATACCTTCCTGTGATGTATTTTTATGGAGAGAATATTTTTCTCATCTTCTTTAAGAAAAGGATTAAGTTTATATTCCTTTTTTATTCAAAAACGTTAAAAACTTTTTTGGAAGTATTTATATGAGGCAAAATATTTTTATTTGTGCATATTTTCAAATACTATATTTAACTGCATGCTAAGACTTTCTTGTAGGTAAGACTGAGAAATACTGACCGGACTGACTAAACCAAGTTTCAGTTAATTTGGAAATATGAACCTGCATTTTAGAATCAATGTGACATGCATTGACACTGTCACTCTGTGAATTGTTTATTGTGTGAGCATTTAACAGATGTACATTATAAGAGCCTCTGGAATATAATTTATAAGGAGGGGAAAATTGCTTCCAGTGCTGAAAGGAAGCTTGTGCAATATAATTCTTCACCTTGTCAAAATTCACATTTAACATTTACCTAATTGCTTCCCTCTATGACAAGAAATAACGTCTAGCAAGTTAACCAATATTACATCCAAGAAAAAGAAAAGTTTCTAAATATTCTAAATTGTTTAGAATTCATTGACAGAAGACCCATACTCATCAGTTGTTTAACCTTTGGCTCATTGTGGGTGGAAAACTCAACTGTTTTGATACTATTAACTGCAGTTCCCTACTACAGAAATTCTGTAAAAGTAGTTACTCTTTGTGTCAACAAATCTTATACAGGGAGATCACAATTAAGATAGCATGTAGAAGAATGAAACTGAAGGGTAAATGAAGACGATATTAAATAGTAAACTTTGTTTTTTTTGTTGGGGGGGTGTTGGGGGGAAGATCTCCCACAGTGCTGGTTTACTCCTGGCTTACTCCTGGCTTTGAACCCAGGGGTCACTCCTGCTGGTTCTTAGGGACTGAACTGCATGCACCAAAGCACCTTATGTGATGTACTTGCTCTCTGGCTCTAGAATAAGTAAACCTTAAGCACATGCTGAAAATAATTACGATTTGTTTTTTAGGGATATTAAACTATCTATTTGTCCCGTGGCATAGATTAAATAAAACTGATGGTTGTTAATTCTTGTCTTCGTTTCTATGCAGGAAAAAAATTATAATTTTAGTGCTAATAATTACATAAAAATGGTAAAATTTGAATATGAGAATATTTTTATAACTCTGGAGCGATAGCACAGCGGTAGGGCGTTCGCCTTACAAGCGGCCAACATGGCCGACCTGAGTTCGATTCCTCCGCCCCTCTCGGAGAGCCCGGCAAGCTACCGAGAGTATTCGATATGCCAGACACAGTAACAACAAAGTCTCCAATGGAGACGTTACTGGGCCCGCTCGAGCAAATCGATGATCAACGGGAGGGCCTTTACTTACTTTACTTACTTACTTTAAGAAATAATTTTTCCTTTCCTAGAAAAATCTTTTCTCTTTGAAAGATTCTTTTGGCTTCAGATAAATTGAAAGTTTTATATGCCTGAGAAATATTTATTTTGTTTTTTACAAGTAATTTCAGAGAAATGACAATTTTAAAGGTAAAGTTTTTTATTGCAAATAATTCTTTAACATCACTTGAAGAGCTTCAATCTAAAGTTATATTTATTTATTTATTTTTTTGGGGGGGAGACTAACACCCAGGAGTGGCCGAGATTAGTACCAGGAATTTTGCTCCATGACTTGAAGGCCAGCCACACGTGCTAGGGGAAAAGGAAACTCAGATAGAGAAGAGAAGGGAGCACCAAATAAAGGGTATTGGGAGGATCCTCCCAGGATGGGAGAAGCATCCTGAAAGTAGACTATAGACCAAACATGATTGCCACTCAATGCCTCTCTTGCAAACTACAGAACCCAAAAGGAGAGAGAGAGAGAACAAAAGGGAATGCCCTGCCACAGAGATAGGGTGGGATGGGGGGATGGGGGGAGGATGCTGGTACCCGCGGTGGTGGAGGATGGGCGCTGGTGGAGGGATGGGTCCTTGATCATTGTATAACTGAAACCCAAGCACAAAAATTTGTAAGTCTATAACTGTACCTCACGGTGTTTCACTAATAAAAAAAAATAAAGGGAAAAAAATAAATAAAGTTAGACTTATTTTTTCTTTGGTTGCTTGTTTCTATCGATTCATTGAGAGCAAGATATCAAAGTTGATGAGTTCTTAACAAATAAGATGTGTGTCCACATTTGTAATGCGTGGAAATAGGTATTGAAATTTTATGGGGGCAGATATGACTCAGTATCAAAGAACATACTTTGCATGTGTGAGACTTGGGTTTGGTTCATAGCTTTTTGAGAAAATACTTTGTGTGCGTGTGTTTAGGGTCACAGAGTAAAGAGTAAGGTGTAAGGAGTAAGCCTGAGAAACAGCTGTGCTCAGGGCTTACTCCTCGTTCTCTGTTAAGGGTCACTTTTGACAGTGTTCAAGCGACCATATGCAGTACTGGGAATCTAACTGGGGTTAGCTACATGCAAGAAAAGTTATAGATTTCCAGTTCTGAGAAAGAATTGTTTTACGGAATAAACATATATCTACTTTAAATATTAAAAATTTGAAATTTCAGTGTATTTTTGAAATTTAATATTATTGCTTTGTCTTCTGAGCTTTTAATCACAGTTTACCTTGACAATCTTTTGTGTTTTTTTTTATGTAGGAGTACTGATATTTATTCAGCCACTGATTAGCTGATTGAATTGGGCATGAACTCCACCTTACTTTTTTTTTCATTTTTTATAATTTTATTTACTGAATCACCGTGAGAGCAGTCATAAAGCTTTCGGGTTTAAGTCTCGGTCATATAATGAAACACCTATACCTTCACCAGCGCCCATTCTTCACAACTAAAAACCCCAGTACACCCCCATCCCACACCCTCCCCCTACCTGTGGGGCAGATGACTTCCACATTACTCTCTCTCTACTTTGATCACATTCAATACTTTGACACTAGACCCACCATTATTATTTGGCATTTTACCCCAACACTCAGATCTGCTAAAAATGCAAGAGTAGACCATTTGTTTTCTATTGCTGATTAAGAACAACATATGATGCTGCTGGCTGTAGCAGTGGCCGCACGATTTTGAAATTCCAAAATTTTAACACTTAAATCTGGAGAGATATCTGCCAAAAACCTGCTGGGTTCCGAGATTTGTTCCTGAGTCTCTGGGATCATGGCCATTAAGCAGCTTGATCAGGAGCCAGAAAAGCCGTTCATGGACGGAGACTCAGGGTCAAGTTGAGACAGGAAAGAAAGGGCTGGCTCCACCCCCATCCCATGAGACTCTATGTGTCTCGCTTGACAATCTTTTGAATAACTGCCCTCATTACTCCACAGAGCCTCACTGCAACTGTCTATATTATGTATAAGTATTTATGTATATGTACTTACTATTATTACAAATGAAGCTAATATTAATAGAAGGCGTAAAAAGCTAAAAAGAAAAGCATCAATTTTTTTTCAGTCATTTGTTTGAAACAATGAGTATAACGGTTTATTTATATTAATATAATTGTCCACTTCATAAATAAATCTTCTAAATCCCAAGACTATCATCCAAAGTAATTAAATTTCTTTGTTCTTTTTTGTTTTGTTCCTTTCTCTGCTATTAGGGAATGTTCATAGTCATTGTTCTTCAGAAAGCTTAGATGTGCTGCAATGTGTTCAGAAGCCTGGATTCAAATCTCTGGCTTGACATTTATTAATCCTCTCTATATATGGGGCTGGAGTGATAGCACAGCAGTAGGGTGTTTGCCTTGCATGCAGTCAGCCTGGCCGACCCAGGTTCAAATTTCTCCATCCCTCCCGGAGAGCCTGGCAAGCTACCGAGAGTATCCCACCCACAACAGTAACAACAAGTCTCACAATGGAGATGTTACTGGTGCCCACTTGAGCAATCAATGAACAATGGGACGACAGTGCTACAGTGCTATGTATACATATTCAAAGCATTGTATTTTAAAATTATTTTTTTAAGAAAAGACTACCTCAGGGAACTGATGTTAGAATAAAATTAAATAAAATTAACTTGAGTGTTGTAATGTGTGAAATTTATTATTTAACACAGTTGCATTAGTCATCATCATTATCACGACAGCTTTCTGCTTTCACTTATTTAACTTATAACAAGATTCAATAAATTGATTCATTGTCACAAAATTAACTGATTTTTTTCTGCTATAGCAATAAATACACCAGTAATTTTACATAATATTTTCACCTTAACACAATCACAAAATCCTCTTTTTAAAACTGAAATAAAAACAGAAAGTAATTATAGGATATATGTCATAGGAATAGTGTGCATTGCAAATTCACAAGAGTCTACAAAATCTGATCTCTTATTTTTTACATATGTGTTTGTTCATTCAAGAATGGGCAGTTATTTCTACTTATACTGATTCGTATGGAAGCCACTAATAGTTTACACAAACAGTTGCTTTCAAATGTTACATAAGCACATTTATCTAGGTAGGGTACTAGAAATGATTTCAGTCTCTCTTTAAAGTTACATCGTACTTTCAAAATTCAAGGTCACACGGTCCTCCCGTTGTTCATTGATTTGCTCGAGAGGGCCCAGTAACGTCTCCATCGTGAGACTTGTTCTTACTGTGTTTGGCACATTGAGTATATCACGGGTAGCTTGCCGGGCTTTGCCGTGAGGGCGAAATACTCTCGGTAGCTTGTCGGGCTCTAGGAGAGGGGCGGAGGAATCGAACCTGGCTTATTTCCTTTTAGTCTAATGCAATCTTTTTAATTCATGGAGTCAATTTTCCATTACACCTCTTTCCCCATGATTGAAATAGATAGTGCACATTCGTCTGCCTACACACACAAAAGTCCTATGCTCTCCTTGAAGATTAAAGTCAGTTTTAGAATAACTATGTGTAAAAGTTGAGTATATTTACCTCTGCTTTTCTCTGAAGAATTAGATTGAGTTCATTTATGGCATTTGTAATTTGTTTGGTTTCCACACATCCCAGAACACCACATATATTTTTAACTTCTTCAATAATACTGTCCACACTTTGCAGCAGATGATAAGATTCCTGTAATTCATTTAAATCAAAAGGACACAAATTTATTTTTATCATCGTCCATGAAAAGCAAGAAGAGTAATATATGGTTGGCTGTTCCCATTATGAAGATTTTTGAGACTAGTTACCTGAGCAACAAATTACAGGTGGGTGGATGCTCAAGAGGAGACCACTAAGATTATATAGATTGATACTGATTAACTATTATCTGAAATACAGTGGGATAGAGGGAAGAGTGGAAATAAATGAAAGCAAAATGGAGAGACAGAGACAGAGAAATAAAGAGACTGATTTTTACAAAATACTTTGAAAACAAGAATCAACTGCTAAAAGTTCCATGTAGTTTCAGAATATATCTGTTTTACTAAGTATATCACAAGAAGGAAAAATTTAAAATTTTTACAAATACGATTCTCAGTGTTCAGAACAAACACTGTGTTAGAATATTTGGGGATCATCTGTTTACACTACCCTTCAAGCACTCAATATTTCAGAAAATCACTGATAACTAGAATAATTTTTAAAAATGCTTCTTAAAACAAAATTTCTGGCTGAATTTAAATTAGTCATACAGAGATATTTTTATTATAAAATTGCATAATTTTTCCATGTGTTACCATTAATTTTGTTGAGAACACTCTCTTTTAAAGTTCTGTGCTCATCATTTCATACTACATTATTTTTATATATATTGTCTATATTGCTAATAATGGTAGCTTTTCTAAAAAGCATCCACTCTGTTACCAACTTCAGTTATTTGAAAGTAGGGTCAGAAAAGTTTATTTCAACAGGGAAAAATATTTTCCAGATTTTCCCACATAAATATTGTGTTCGTGAGTCACAATACAAAAGTAATTTAAATCTACTTATTCTAGATTACTATTGAAACATTAAAATTAAACAAATAAAATGGTTTCTTTAGTGCCATTTTTTCATTGATGAAAATATTTTGCATTAACATGTTACCAGTACTTATATGCAATTTTATAGAAACTGAAAACTGATGGCTAAAACCCAGGAGGAAAAGCTAATTAATGTTTTTGAAAGATATAATCAGGATTACAAAAATGTCAAGACTTGATTAATGAGCTAAAGTTGAGATGCAATTTAATGGGATACATTTGAAGTCTTTCACAGATTAAGAAAATATAACTTCAATTACAACATGAGAAAGAAAAATACATAGATGAAATATTTGGGAAAATATCAGTTTTATTTATGTGTAAAGTCAAATTGAAACAACATTGTAACCACCACCAGAAAAATACTCACTGTGAAGTTACATTTAATATATATATATTTTTTTCTAGAACTAGAAAATTGAGCCTTATTACATTTCATTTTATATAATCTGAATTTAAATTGAATTTTTGATATCACATATAAGGCTGAACTTGACATATTAAACTTTTCCCAAAGAAAAGCAACCCAACTATTAATATGCTATTATCATACTCATTAGCTTAGCACTTTATTTTCTACTCTGAAGTCAGGTTAATATGTGTTAAAATCCTTGTTCTACTCCATTTCTACCTGTGACCACTTTCAATTTATTTAATTACTATTGGCCTTAAATTTCTCTTTTGTAAATTAAAACAATAATCATAGGGTTGTCAAAAAATTAAATAATAGAATAGTAACTATTTGGAAGATTAATCTTAAATTCGGATGAGCCTCACACATGAAGGAACCGGCAGAGGAAACCAGGAGTGTGGGACCCGGGGTTGAGATCTCCAAGCCTGCTTGGATTGGGAATGATCCTCCTCCACCCAGATCCCCCATCTTCCAGTAGCTAGGCATTACACCCACCAACTGCCTGGTGCCATGTTATCCCATCAATGGCCAAGACCATACTATCCCATCGACGGCCAAGACCTAGGGACTATAAAACCCAGCTCCTGTAAGCAGACCTCTTATTGTCTATTCTCACTCTTGGAGAACCCGACAGGCTACCGAGTGTATCCTGCCTGCACGGCAGAGTCTGGCAAGCTCCGAGTGGCATATTCAATATGACAAATCAACTTACAATGATGGGCCTCATTCCCCTGACCCTGAAGGATCCTCCAATGTGGCACTCACTAAAATCTCAGGGCAAGGATGAATGGAGATGTTACTGGTGCCTGCTCGAGGAAATTGATGAACAACAGGATGACAGTGATACAGTGAATCTTAAAATTAGTTCTTCATCCATTCCACATATTTATCTGTTCTTGAGAGAAATCAGATACTACGCATGTCTAGATAACTAATAAAATGATAATTAAAAGTGACAGAAATGATGAGAATGTGTGTGTGTATGTGTGTGTGTGTGTGCGCGCGTGCACGTGCATATGCGCACGAGTGCTATGGTTGATTTTTCATTCCTTCATATTTTTTCCATTTCAGACATTTTTACTTCTTCAAATGTGTTGTTTATCGGAAGTGACTGAAAGGAAATGTAGGATTGAGCGCCATCACAGAAATGACCTTTAGAGAGAAATGGTTGAATGACTATTACTTCTTCCTTTTTTTCAACCAGTCAGTAGTTCCCATGAAAGAAGTCTATCCAGAATGCTCAAGATACATTATGGAATACAACATGCCTATAACAGAGGGGGGATTGTAGGAAATAATTTATGTGAACTTCTTGATTTCCTATAAAACCAGCACAACCAACCCTGGATCCCACCAAGCCACACCCAGTCATGCCTCTCAGAACTCTGGACCAGACACTCCTTGGTAAATTGTGTTGGTTCCCTCAGTATGTATTAAACTCCCCCAGGAGTTGGTCCTGCCTGGGTGCATGATGTCAGGCCCTGACTTCCATCATGATGCACCAAGGAACAGAAAAAGAAAGAAACAACACAGCACCCTGGAGGCAGTGGCTGACCCTTAAACAGAAATCCCTTGGCTACAAAAATGAGTCTATCTGAAGACATGATTGGTTGTCTACTATTTGAACCCCACCAAATGTGGCTTGGTACTCTTGGAGAATGAGTAGGGAGTGTTTTATGATGTGTCATTCAAAAGGGCAGGTGTGTGCTCCCATGTGTGAGCTATACTCCCCAGACCCCTGAGGACCCTGTGTGGCCAGCCTGAGTATCTCTGAGTGTTTCCCTGTATTTCTGGGGCAGGCCACCCCACACATGAACAGCAACAACATCAGTGAGACTATTTGGGGTTCTTTTTGTTTATTTTTTAATTTTTTAAAAATTTTATAAGGTAGTTACAATATTTGATTACACTTAATATTCAAACACCAATCCCACCACCATTATACCTTCCCACCACCATATTTGGGATGTTTCCATCCCTGTCCTAAAAGCAGAACTGAAATATATTTTGTATTGTTTGTTATGAAAAACTTCTGAAAACCCTACAAAAAAGGTATTCATAGAGTAATCAGTGTGAAGATTTTCTATTTTGGCAGAGTCCATTAAGACCTTCTTTAAGATATCACTAACATGTTGTTAAAAGTTGAGCACTGCGAACTTTCACATATATATATATATATACATACATATATGTGTAGCACTGTAGCACTGTCCTCCCATTGTTCATCGATTTGCTCAAGCAAGCACCAGTAACATCTCACAACAAATTGTGAGACTTGTTGTTACTGTTTTTGGCATATCAAATACATCACCGTTAGCTTGCCAGGCTTTGCCGTGTGGCAAGATACTCTTGGTATCTTGCCGGGCTCTCCGAGAGGGGTGGAGGAATCGAACTCAGGTTGGCCATGTTGGCTGCGTGCAAGGCAAATGCCCTACTTGCTGTGCTATGGCTTTAGCCCACATATATATGTATATTTACTATATATATATATTTCCCTTTATGATTGGTTTTGTATCATTTGAACCCCATCAAATGTGGCATGGTACTCTTGGAGAATGAGTAGGGAGTGTTTTGTGATGTTTCATGGGGCTGCAAATGTGGTCACACAGTACAGGAATAGGTTCACTCATGCGTGAGGCTTGGCCCAAGCATGTGGGGCGGGGCGGTTGGGTTCTGGAGGTTTTCGATTGCCAGGGCTGGGTCCTTTGGGATGGGGAGGTGTCATACCCACCTCCCTCTGGGGTGCCCTGAGTGAAACAGCCTGGTACAGAGTCCAGTGGCATGGTTATGGCAAGCTTCTCATGTTGCTCTCTTCTGGGAGAGAAGGACATACAATCTAGGTGGTAGCTGATGATGAGATTATCTGGTGTCTTATGGGTGTGACCTCTGGGTCACGGAAGTGAGACTATTTTGAATAATAATAAAAAATAATCTAGATTGTTGGGATGACACAAAGGGGATAAGAGTCCCAGTTTCTTATAGCGGGCAAGCAGGTACTGCTGAAGCAGGAACAGTTACAGGAGCACTCAGCTAGCATAGGCCACACTGTGCAGTCACAGAATAGGAACTGCATGATGGAGAAGTAAGTCTCCTAAAGTACCCTAACAATAGGGATAGCACAAACAAAACCCACAACCCAAATCTTTACTGGATTTAATCAACCCTTCATTTTATATAGTGTGGCCCACTTACTGGTCAGCATAGTATTTACATCATTTTCTACTGTTGTTCTATAGATGCTCGAGCTGGCCCAGTAACGTCTCCATTGGAGACTTTGTTGTTACTGTGTCTGGCATATCGAATATGGCTAGCACTGAATAAAAAATTGGGACTCCCACCAAAAGTGCAAGATAGAACAAACCATTGTCACTAGCTGGAGTAAGTAACAAAACCAAATTAAAAGATGCCATGGTGTTATAGGAAAAAGCCAAAAAGAAATTTTAAATAACTGTGTGATTAACATGTTTTAGAACCCAGTGAAAAATATGGACAGACTCCAGACTAAATGGAGAATTTCAGCAGAGATGGAAATTATAAAATGAAATGATAAAAATATCATGATATTCAAAAATAGAATTTCCTCAGATAGATACCAAATGATTGGATTCAACTTAAAAAAAAGCATTGATGATATTGAAGGTTGATCAAACATAAAGGGTACAAAGAGTGAGAACTAACAACGCAGCGTTTAAGAGATGCCAGTAGAAGTTTATACAAAATTGGGGCTCTCTAAAGACAAGAGAAGGGCCAAAAAAATAATAAAGAGATAATGGACAATATATATGAAAGTGGAGACTGCCACTGAAATATATAGGGGCATGCATGGCTTTCTAATTGAAATTGCCTGGTTAATGACATTGAAGTCATTTTTAAAATCTTTCCCAAGAAGAAAATTCTAAAGAATTGGTTTCTCAGTTCTAAAGACTAGTGAACTTTATCAAACATTTGAGGAGGAAATGAAATAAAGCTTTATCTACTATTCTTTGAGAGTAAGAGGTAGACAAAAACCTTCTCAAAATATTCTCTAAGAGTGTTATTATTTCAACATTTCATAATTAAGTACATTAAAAAAAGTAAACACCAAGATGTCATTTAAAACTACATATGCAAATATCCTCAGCAAAATTGTGTTAATTGAAGTCATGAAAATATAGAAAAAATCCAATTCCCCCTAACTTTGGTCTGCCAGAGTAATGCAAAGATTTTTTAAAAATTTTTAAAGAAAAATGAGAAATTCCCTATGCTCATCTGGGTAGACGTAAATAAAAATTTGACAAAATTAATTAATCATTCGGAACATATATTTTATTAGCAAACCAAGAATAGAAATAAGATTCTTCTCCCTAGTAAGAATCAATTCATTTTATGCCATAATTACATAGCCTCCAAATAATTTTATACTTAATGCTGAAAGAACGTAACTTCCTCCATAAGATTAACAACAAGGCAAGGTCTCTACAAAAGTAAATCTCTGATTTCATGATGCCTAGAATGGGAAGGAGACTCTTGGGCACTTTTTGGTGTAATAAAAATGTTTTATATCTTGATTTCAGTGGTGTTCATCTAGGTACATGCATTTTTAAAAAATAGTTATACTGTACAGTAAACATGAGTATTTTATGTAAATTAAGCTTGGAGAAAGTTGATTTAGTAACTCAGACATAATAAAAGTGAAAAGACAAGCCACCAACTGGCAAAAGTTATTTACTATGCACAACCGAAGGAGAGTAAATATAGAAATAACTCCCATGAATCCATGTGGAAAAGCTAAATCTAGAAAATTGAAAAAAAATTGAATACGTAAATTATCAGATACAAACTTGGGGTTGCACTTTAACATAGTAAATAATTGCAAATTTATTATTTTTCAGGGAGATTAAAATTGAAATAAGAAGGCATTGCATCTGTCTCATGTAGGCAAAAATTTAGAAGCTGGACTCTATCACAGCTTGCTGAAAAATGCAGCCTTCTTTGTGAGATGTGTATGATCCTATTTAAAATTATTCAGTAGTGGGGCTGGAGAAATAACTTACTGGAACGAGTGCAAGCTTTGAAAACGGCACCGCTGTCTCTCCTGAGCACCACCAGATCTGACCCCCAAAGTAAAGTAAAGAAAGAAAAACGTGGAGCAATAGCACAGCGGTAGGGCGTTTGCCTTGCACGCAGCCAACATGGCCGACCCGAGTTCAATTCCTCCGCCCCTCTCGGAGAGCCCGGCAAGCTACCGAGAGTATCTCGCCCGCACGGCAGAGCCTGGCAAGCTCCCCGTGACATATTCGATATGCCAGACACAGTAACAACAAAGTCTCCAATGGAGACGTTACTGGGCCCGCTCGAGCAAATCGATGATCAACGGGAGGGCCTTTACCTTACCTTACCTTATTACCTTTTAAGTCTATGATCTTAGTTTCGTACCCTAGAAAACATCTGTGTATTAACTCAGAAAAAATAAAATAAATACAGATTTACTCTAATCCCTGTACTGTAGCAATGAAATCAAAACCACATAGAGCAACGTGAATAAATCTTAAGGGTAATATGTACATAAGTAAGTAAAAAATAAAACAGGGTTCAGAAAGCACTCATTGTTTGATTGCATTTAGTTGGCATTAGAAAGGAGACCTAAAACTTGCATTGCTTATGGCTTCACTACAAAATACTTGCACCAGAGGATACAATACTTCTCAGGTGGAAGGAAAGAGATGAAGTGGCAGCCAGATTCCATGATAATGACAATATCTTGTTTTCCTAAACGTGTTGTTTAATAACAGCCCTTGCTATGTTATTAGTATTTACTTTGTATGTTGTGGAGTCTTTACGTATTACGTAAATAAATCACTTCACAGATTTCAAGAAAAATGTCAGAACATGTTATTCCTTGGGCAGAATCCTTCAAGACTGTTTGATCTTACTTGGAATACTAATTATGTTGGCTGGCGATTATCTTCCTTTTTGAAGACCTACTCTCATTTTTATTCTTAAAGTCTGGTAGAGTGCTATATATAATTGCTTTGACTTTTAACTAGTTTCAGTCTGCCCTTTCTTTCTGTGAAAGGATCCTTCAGTTCTGCAACTGTGCTCTGTTTTCCTTTTGACTGGACTTTATCTCCTTCCTCTTCTTGACTTCTCCTTTTGTGACCTTTCAACTGGTCCTCTTACCAGTTCTTTTTATTCTGTTTTCTTCTTAAGGTTATTTTGCTCCTGGATTACTTTTTAAATCCTATCGTGGATGCAAATCAGTTTTGTGACATTTTGACTTCTGCCTCCATTTCTCTAGTTAAGTATTAGCATTCAAAATAGGAACTATAATGGTGATAAAATAACATAGTACTTGTCTTTTCTTGAATACCTTTTAATCTCCCAGTCACTATATTATATTATATTAGGCACAATCCATTGATCACGATCACAATCACAATCATCCTGTTGTTCGTCGATTGCCTCGAGCAGGCACCAATAATGTCTCCTTCGTCCTAGCCCTGAGATTTAAAAAAGTGCCATATTCAAGGCTCTTTCAGGGTTAGGAGAATGAGACCCATCATTGTTACTGGTATTTGGCATATTGGGTACGCCACGGGGAGTTTGCCAGACTCTGCTATGTGGGAAGGTTACATTTGGTAGCCTGTCAGGTTGTCCAAAGTAAGAATGAGATAATAAGTTGTCGCGCATGCGGCCACGCTCTTCTGGAAGCTGGGTTTTATAGTCTCTGGGTCTTGGCCATTGATGGGATTACACGGCGCTGGGGGTCAGTTGGTGGGTGTGACCCCTGCCTACTGGAAGATGGAGGATCTGGGTGGAGGATGCTCAGCCCCGATCTGAGCAGGCTTGGAGATCTCAGCCCCTGGACCCGCATGCCTTTGTTCCTGTGCCGGTACCATCATGTTTGTGGAGAGTGGTCTCAGCATGGTTGTGACTGGTTCTGGAGGTCTTTGGCTGCCAAAGGAGCTCCAGCAGCTGAATCCATTCATGGTGTCATTAATTTTTTAAATACTATTACATTATATTTTATTATCTTTATTGTAGAGATGAATAATATGAACACTGAGATGGTTTAATGGAAAAAAACTATAGTAGCAGAGCTTTGGCATATATATCTGTCCAAAACTAGAATATCTGCTTCTGAATTCTATCCGTTACTGCCACTCTACTTAAATTACATTCAAAACTGGGACTTGCGAAAAATCCAAGTAGATATTTTTGTTATTAAAAGAGCTTCAGTTCTCAGAGATATATATATATATATATATATATATATATATTATAAAATAACTGTGTTCCCCCTTTGTACATATATTCATTATTTTATGCCTATCTCCATGGAGATGGATTTTGGTGTAGGGTAGGGAAAGTGTGAGACCTGCATTATTTTGCTTTTCTCACTGAGTTATTTGTTTTTCGCATATTCTTTTGTTTACCTAGTTGGCATAGCAACTGAGTCATGAAATAGAATGATAAAGGGTTTGAGTGTTTTTAATGCTTTTCAGACCAGAAAGAGCTTCATAAACTCAAAATTTATGTTGGAACATAGCTATTTCTTAATCCATATTATTCTAGTTTATAATTAGTTTGACAGTTATTAGGTTCTAATATAACTTAAAAACCAGTGGTAGAGAATGATAACTTTCTCAAAGAGTCCCACTTGGTATTTTATTGACTTTTAGAGGCTGAGATTATGGGTTAGTAGGGAGAAGCAACTTTAATCAGAAGATTTCAATCTAAGTGATGTGTTAGATTGTGAAATTATTTAATAATGCTTGTCACTGTGTATATAGCACTCCTGAATACGACTCTGTATACATCATTTGTGTAAACTTTCTATCTTTCAAACTTGATACTCAGCAAAGTCAGAGCAAGGACCTAACACAATTTCTGTTTATTTCAGTTAGTAAAAAGTTCAATAAAAGCCTCAAATAATATCTTTGAGGAAAATTCTTACTGTTTCTTTTATACTTAACTTCTTTTGAATGTTGCCAGTGAATATATAATATAGAATGAATATAGAAATATTCCTTAACTTTTTTTAATCTCTTAGTATAATAGAAAAAGTGAACAAAATGCTTTGTACATATAATGTATATGTACATTACATAAAATAATCATTCAACAAATGTAATTTAAGCCAGAATGTTAAAAATAGAAATAAGTCAAGCACAAATACATCAGATGGCCACTCCTAAAATAAGTAAATATTAAAAATTTAAATCTGGGCCGGTGAGATATTACAGTGGGTAGGGTGCTAGCCTGGCATGTAAGTGACCCAGGTTTGATCTCCAGTACCCCAATGGACCTCTGAGCCTGCAAGGAGTGATCCTTAAACGTGGCTCACTGCTACTCAAAACAAGCAAACAAAATATCAAAATCTCATTTTATTTTTCTTTTGTTTCTTTTGTTTCTTATGTTTTTAATTTATTTTTTATATTTTGGTTTTTTGGGTTATACCTAGGAGCTACTACTGACTCTATACTCAGTAATTACTTCTGGTGGTGCTCAGGGAACCATATGGGATACTGGGGATTGAATCTGGGTTGGCTTCGTGCAAGGCAAATGCATTACACATTGTACTACCACTCTGGCCCCCAAATCTCATTTTCTTGAATGGTTTATGCCCCCAAATCATGGCCTCTGTGGTTTAGTTATAAAATAATTCAGGTGTGGGAAATTATAACTCTTTAACTGTACTTCTTTATATGGTGCCATCTCTTTAGTCATATTTCAGCAGATTGCAATGGGCAAGGATTTCCTTGAGTGCGGAGAAAATGTTGGGGGTTTCTATATCTGGAAATAAGTAACTTTGAAAACTCCTCAACTACTTGTGTCTGTTTATAAAAAGACATGATATATCAGTGTATTGAGACATTAAATGATTGAAATTGACACATATGTGGATTTCTATAACCTCTAAAGAATGGCTACATGTAGTCTGAGGATACTGAGTTAAAATAAGGTCTTATTGTATCCACATAACTGGGCAATTTTAAATTATATAAACTGTCCAAACAATTCACGGTGTTGAAGAATAAAGCTGAAAGAAGTAGCGATCACACTTTTGTGAGATTTAAAACAATCTCTTCGAAAATTGTTTTTTACATTTGTATTTTATTTAGCCTTTTTTCCTTTTCCACATATTAAACGTCCTGTTTAAGAATAAATTCAAGAGAAAAAAATGGAGTTAGCATGAAAATGTTACACTTTGGGAAGGCATATGAGGCACGTATTTATTTGTCATCCTCGTGGCTTGAGATATTTATAGGGAATTCACACATGGTTGATATCTACATTGAAATATGTTTTATTGTTTTTTCTGACTATTAGTATTAGAAACAGTTGCTTCAGATCTGTGTACTTTCATGTGTATCAAGAGGATAATTAAATGTGTATCAAAAGAAAAATTCAGTCCTCCGTTGTTTTATAAACATTCCCATATAACTTTCAGTAAGCATTTGTTTTGTCTTTGGCAGACTGACCCTTTCTGAGAAGAAAAAGCTACAGTAAAATTTCTGCCTCATGGTGGCTGTAACTTGGGTACCTAATAGTGGATCAAATCTCAGTAGCCTTGGTCTGAATTTGATTTTTTCCTGCCAAGCTAGTCTCTGTTCTCCATTATTTCAGTGTCATCTCCATTCACTCATTCCAGCAGGAATCTGGAGGAACTGTATCTCCTCCGTTAATTTGTTGCCCATCGTCTTTCACCAGATTGTATAAATTTTATATTTTTGCCAGTCTTGATCTGTCCCTTTCCTGCCTTTCGTACAGTCTTTTGCCTGTGTTTTTATGACCTGTTAGAGGTAATAAAATGTTCTAATCACACATATATTATAGTCTGTTGCCTGTATAATGTATAAGTCATCAGCTGATGGATTAGAAAATCATTAGGTTGCCCCGTTAAAACCCTTTAAAAACCTTTGTAACTTGACCCCTGCTATTAACCTCTTTTATTCTGCCTCTTTCTGGACTCTCACCTTAAAGTCTAATTATAGGCATTCCAAATTATCACAGTTTCTGATTCAAATCGGGTTCTTTGCTAACTGTTTCTGTTCATGGTCTTCGCTAAAAGTTAGCCCTGTATATTCCTTTCCTTCCCAAACCCCTTTGATGACTGACATATTTTTTTTATCACTCAGATTAGATAAATCAATCTGATAATCTTTTTTCACATGTCCTTTATACTTACAGATTACCCATGACACATACATCTTTCCCGTAGTTTTTTGCAACAACATAATGAAAGTCCCTCAAGTATAGCCCCCTTTTCTTTCTTTTTATATTTATAGAAACTTGTGAAATTTTAGTGAGAAAATGATGTAAATACTTATTGAACCGGTACATGTATCAATAAAAATAAAATACCTGGGTTTTCAATAGGTATTTCAGATGGCAGTCATACTTTTTGAGTACTGTTGAGAGGCACTGTCTGAAAAAAAAAAAAACATCTTTGTCTAAAATTGTACTTTGATTGCCTGATTCCCATAACCAACCTCCACTACCCGGGTGTCACTGGGCTTACTGTCTACAGTCCCAGAAGTTCACACCCCAATCCAGAGCCCTTCACTGTTGCCAAGGCACTCACAGTTGCTGCCACCATTACCCCGTCCTGAAGCCAACCTTTATCACTACACAGTCACCTTCAGCTGGTGCTCTCAAATATGTAGAAGTGAAACCATACACTCAGTACCAATCACAGTGATAATGAGGCAATCAAATGGGAAATCAAAAAGTACCTTACAGCAACTAAAAATATAAATATAACACATCAGAAGTTATGTAATATAGCAAGAGGAGTGCTTATGGGAACGTTTAAAGAGAAAATGCCTTACATACTGAAAAATAAATATCCCTTCCAAACCCAGCTTTATATATTAAGTACTATAAATACAGGAACAAGCCATGCCTAAAGTTATTAGAAGGATTAGAAATAAATAAAAGACAGATTCAAACAATGATAGAAATGGTCAGTGAAACTGACCAATCAATGCAGAAAATGCTTTTGAATAGATAAATAGAGTTGGCAAAACTTTAGCCAAACTTGCTAATAAAAAAGGTGATTTAAGTAAAATTTGAAATGAAAGAAGAGATACAAGCACTGGTATGAGAGAACTTAAAAGGGTACAGTAGACTTGTCTGAACATCCATCTGTCAGCAAATTAAATAGAAACAATGAATAAATTCCTATAAAAAATAGCCTACCAAATCAGAATTGTGGAAACATAGAAAAACTGTACAGAGGCTGGAGTGATAGTACAGAGGGTAGGGCATTTGCCTTTAACTTGGCCGTCCCAGGTTCAATTCCTGGTATCCCATATCTTCCCCCAGGCATCACCAGGAATAATTCCTGAGGGCAGTGTCAGAAATAACCCCTGATCATCACTGGGTGTGACTCAAAAAGCAAAAACAAAAACAAAAAAAACCAAAAGAATCACCTGTACAGATCAACAATAAAGAAACAAGTCAATGTTCCCAATGATAATAGATGCTGACAGAATGAAAACTGAATTCAAGTACACAACAAAAGGATCATGCACCATGAACAAGTCAAATTTATCCTTGGAATCAATATAGTCAACATACATGAATCAATAAAGACTATACCTCTTATAAATACATAGAATGAAGAGGGACCAGAAAGCTAGTACAGTAGGTAGAGCACTTGGCTTGCACGCGTCTGACCTAAGTTTAACACATCACAACTGTTAAAATGGATATTATCAAAACCGGATGAAGAACAATGGTGAGTTTAGGTGAAAAGAAATTCTCATGACTTTGTATTAGGAATATAAATTTATAATCTGAAAAGCAGTATAGAATCTCCTCAAAATATATTGAGAACTGGTCCATAATGGGAAGCTTGCTACTGCAGAATGGAAGTAGATTGGTGACAAGAACACTATGGTGAACGTAGATGGAAGGGGTCACTCTGGAGGGAATTAGGGGACATCAGAAAAACTGGGGACATTAGTAAGGGAAGTGGACACCAGTGAAGGAACTAATACACCTGAAACCCAATCATAAATAGCTTTGTGACTCACAGGGATTTCAACTAAAAAAACTTAAAAATACAGTTATATGATCCAGCAATACAACTCCTAGGCATGTATTAAAAAAATTAGAAATTACTATCTGCGAGCCAGAAGGCAGTACAGCAGTTAAGGAACACAACTAGCACTCACTCTCCTCTTTCCTTAACAGCACGTGGTTCCCCAAGCATTGCTGATTGTAGGTCTGGAAGATTCTAAACACCGAGCACCATGGGGTGTGTCCCTGGAGTATCCCAGCATCTCTGGGATGGTTGGGATATCCTGACACTACAGAACCCAAGTAGCTGGATCAGTGTGCCCTTGTAATGGCAATAGCCTGTGGCATCCCCAGACCTCCTGAAAAGGACTTGGGAGCCCCTAATGCCTGCCCCCACCAAAAAGAAAAAAAATATATATCTTCATTGCCAAAGTCATGGCTGTCTTATTCACATTAGCTAAACCATGGGAAATCCTTATGTGTTCAGTGAGAGAATGGACAAAGAAAATGTATTTAGTTATGCACTATGAAATGTTATTTAAACCAAAAAAATTTTTTTACATGTACAGTAACATGAATGGATCTTGAAGACAATATGCTATGTGTTCAAAGTCAGACACTGAGTAACAAAGTTGATCTGATCTTACATATATGTGAAATCTAAGAACATTAGCATCATGGAAAGAGAGAGTGCATTGGATATGCCAGGGCTAAGGAGTGAGGGAAAGAGGAGAAATTTGTCAAAGGATACACAAGCTGTTGTTGCTTATAATATGTTCCATGGATCTAAAGAATTACAAGGGACTATAGCAATACTGTAATGTGTATCTGACAGTTTCTAGGAGGGTAGAGCTTTGTGTTCTGAAAGATGGTAATTCTTTGAGAAGAAGGACATATTAATTTTAACTGTGGTGGATATTGGTTATCAAAGTCAATCAATATACATATTGAACTGCACATCATTTTGCATATCAACTATCAGAGATTCCATATCGATTTACATAGCAAATATTGCATATCAAATATCAATATGGCCAAATTGTTCACCTTGACTTGATATGGTTGTCTTTCAGTTCTAAGTAGTGTCACATGTTGGGGAGGGAGAAGCAAGGTCTACACTGGCGGTTTTGAGATTGAGAATCCATCTGTGCTCAAAACCATTTGAAAAGATAAGAGGTGGAGGCAAAGTCCAACTGGAGTGAAAAGGGAAGTGATGTGACTTTGAGGCACATCAGGGACATTCATTAGCTCTTTGATGGTTGGCGGAGTTGTTTACTTCTCTGTGTTTTGATTTCCTTACCAAGTAGGAGTACCACTGGGAAAGAGTGTTCCCCCGAGTTGTATTCCACGGCCCGGGAGTTGGACGGAAGAGGGTGGAGGAGTTCAGTTTGGGAGTTAGCCTGTGCAAGGGTGGTTTCCTCCTCACTGCAGCAAAGATCAGTAGCACTGTACTGCCGCACTGTAGCACTATCGTCCAGTTGTTCATCAATTTTCTCAAGTGGGCACCAGTAACGTCTCCATTGTGAGACTTGTTACTGTTTTTGGCATATCGAATATGCCACGGGGAATTTTCCAGGTTCTGCAGTGCGGGTGGGATACTCTCGGTAGCTTGCCAGGTTCTCTGAGCAGGATGGAGGAATCGAACCCAGGTATCCGCATGCAAGGCAAACGCCCTACCCTCTGTGATATCGCTCCAGCAGCAAAGATCTAGTGTACCTAATTTACCTCTGCAGGCAAAGAGCTCTCACAGTCATGTAGACACTAGCCTTCTGGACAGGGGAGGGAAAGAGAAGGAGGGACCGGAACAGAATGCACTGGCTTCCTCTCAGCTGCTTCTCAGTCTTAACCGAGCCTAGGGCTGTTAACAGCATCTTACAAAATCTGAATCCTCCTCAAACTGGTACAAAATAGTTTTTTGTCTTCTAGAAATTTCACACTTTTAAAATTCATTTTAGTTTTGGTGTCTCTCTCTACAGTTTTTTAATACATAATTTTAGAATAAGAATCATATATATGATATATATGCATATATATCACATATATGTATATATGTGTATATACATGCATACACATGTATACACATATACATATACAGATATGTATATATGCACACATATACACATATGTATACATGTATACATATATACATATACATACACATATATGTACACATATATGTAAACATGTGTGTATATATGTATGTATATGTGTACAGGTATGCATATATATGCACATATAGCACAGCGGTAGGGCGTTTTCCTTGCTCGTTGTCAGTCTAGCCAACCCGGGTTCGATTTCTTCGCCCATCTCAGAGAGCCCGGCAAGCTACCCAGAGTATCTTGCCCATATGGCAAAGCCTGGCAAGCTACCTGTGATGTAATCAATATGCCAAACACAGTAATAACAAGTCTCACAATGGAGACGTTACTGGCCCCGCTCAAGCAAACTGATGAACAACGGGAGGACAGTGCTACAGTGTAGCATACATATATGTATATATATGAGTATATATAATAATTCTTATTTTAGGACTGGGGATGTGGTTCAGTGGGAAAGCTTTTTTCCTTGTGTGTTTGAACTCAAGCCCTGGCACCACACACATCCACACAAATTCTTTTGGAATAAGGAAACCAGTCTATGCTTATCCATATCTTGATGGGCGACCATACAGATCTATGTTAAAAACTAAACATTAGAATCAGATTTTTTTCTAAATGTCATTCCTGTCCTGCATTGTTCTATGATTTTTATCATGGGGCTGGGTATTGGGGGGGGGAAGGGGAGAAAATGAGAGGAATGTGTGAAAAACACAGTAGTTGAATAAAATATGACCTTTGCAAATTTTAGACAAACCTGACTTCAGTCTTGAACTGAGTGGCCTTGGGAAGGTTCTTAACCTTCTAGAAATTCAGTTTTCTTGATTCTGAAGATGGTATATAGCAAGAATGTCAGGGGAAATTTAGATTAGGTATGTACAATGTGCAATAACTCACTCAACGGTAACTATTATTGTCACTAAAATCATTTTAGTCATCTTTTTTATATCAGATTTTTGCTTTAGACATTTATGACATTTACATTACCCATAGCCCATTTTTATCTTGTTCAGCTCAGAACAACTTTGATTACAGATAAATCCTAACTGTGGCATATTCTCCAAACTTAACTTCCTGAAAGCTCTATTATTTCAAATAACATGCATATTTAGATAACAGAATAAATTACCTTATGTTCATTTGCTGTCACAGGAATTTTCAATTTGAATTTATACCACCTTGTTTAGGTCCTACCTTATTTTTCAGTGAATTCCAGAAAATAATTTAACGAAGTAGATGGTGAAATTTAAAGTATGGAAATTCAGTTACACTAAAGTGACACATGCAAACTTAAACTCATAAAATGAATAAGAACTTGAAAAACCCTTGAAAATGTAATAAATAAGGCAGAGATATTTTTAAATTAATGTTAGATTTTTCTGGAAGGTGCTAGCAGCTCTTCAACTATATCTGAAAGCTGTGAAGAATAGATAATTATTAACAGAATTTGCCAAAGGGTAAGATTAATTAAAAATATAGTAACTTCCATGGTATTAGTGTAAGGACAGTTTTTACAATCAAGTGCAAAAGTATTGTGATTTGTCACTTGAGAATTCAGCCAAAAATGTAGTATTGGAACAGAAATGAAATGTCTTACCTGGGTACTTTCCAAATGTGCATAAATTTTAGGAGTTGGTTCAGATAAAACTGACTGTGGTCATCTTCATGCTGTAGAAGGCAGAATATATTAATATTTATAGAGTGAATTGAAATGAGTACTAGATAAAAATAGATCTGTAACTTCCTGCTGTCATTTTTGTCACCTCTTTTGATAACCCTCATTCATCATCTTAATACTTTGTTCTAAAGAATTTATAAGACTCTTCAATGTAAAAGTATTCTTTGCAAAGGTAAAATAGAATGCGATGCTTTGCTCATGGATAAACCTCAAGGATAGTAGAAAATACCCTGGCGTCCCCAAGGTCAAACTCTAGTTTCTATGATCAGGAAGACAGTGTGTCACATACCACTTCCCCCACATTTTCTTTACATTTAGAGCAAGGAAAGTTGTAACTGTTTAAGACTTAACAACTTGCCAGATCTGCCAGTGAATTCCTAATGCACTCCCCTTTTATTTTTTATTTTTTAAGCTTGAACACATCTTGTCTCAAAAATGTCAGAAGAGAACTGTCTATTTCACCATCATTAAATTGTTTTAATGAATGACAACCTTTCATTAACTATTGATAGGTACGAATTCCCAAGGACCATAGTGCTCTACTTGTTTGGGGTCATAACCAGCTGTGTTCAAGGTTTACTCCTACTCTGTACTCAGGAATCACTCCTGGCAGGGCTCAAGAAACCATGTGTGGTGATGTAGATTGAATCCAGGTCTATTGCATGTAAGGCAAGTTCTAAACTCGCTGAGATATCTCTCTGGTCTGGAACATTTAGATGAGTAATTACTACTTATTCCCAGAGAAAGCCCAGTGGCACCTGGCAACTGAAAATTGACACACACACACACACACACACACACACACACGCACGCACACACACACGCACACATACACACATTACCTTTAGGATTTATGAAAAGCCTATGAAAATCCACAATACTTCTTGCTAATTCCATTATTAACAATATGATGGCATCTACTTGAGAGCTCAGTGAGCTTAATGCTTTTTTGGTGCTATAACCTACTATGGCAACTACCCATGCAATTTATTTTTATAATTGACTATCAAAGTTTCTTAGGGAAAACATCAGAAAAGGAAAAGTCTTTTATAGACTTATTGACAAAGGAAAATTAATTTTTATATTGGGTTGTTTACAAGTAAGAATGAAGCTAAGTTACATGGGTGGAATAATATCTTCACTGTAATACAGTACTCTGAGTGCATGCTACTAGAAAGAAAAAAGAAAAAAAAAGGCTTTAGGATTTTAAGAAACTTGAAAATAGACTTTTTCTGGACCAAGAGAGAAAACTTCAACTTTGTATACGGAAAAGGCTTCAAAAAAAAAAAAAAGAAAAGGAAAATAAAATGTGAAACTGACCAAAAAGAGGTAGTAAAATTCGAACTATAATGTTTGGCATAATTATTTCAGAAGCTAGAACCAAAAAAGCATATATATAATGTCTTTTCATTTTTTCTACATAACATAAAATACTCACTTTATAACCACTCAGCTTCCAGAAATGTTGCGGAGTGGAAATTTACCTTTGTCATATCTTAATGCCACTGGGAACAACCCAAGTAGCCCAAGCACCTCTGGGTGTGGCTCAACATGATATCTCCCTCAATCTTAAAAAAAAAATCATCTTATTTAAAAATAGACATGGGGGGGGCGGAGGCTGGAGCAATAGGACAGTCTTGTAAGCGGCCTACCCGGGTTCAATTCCCGGGCATCCCATATGTTCCCTTGAGCACCGTCAGGAGTGATTCCTGAGTGCATAGCCAGGAGTAACCCCTGAACATTGCTGGGTGTGGCTCAAGAAGAAAAAAAAAGACATAGGGCAGGATAGATAGTTGAGGTGTTAGTTGAGGATAGATAGTTGAGGAGTTGAGGACCTTTGCTCCTGTGCTGACCTCTCTTCAAGCCCAGGCACTCCACATTGTCCTCTAGCGCCACCTAGAGTGACCCTTCTGCACACTCAGCACAGGCATGCATGGGCCCAAATCTGATAACTAAAGAAGCACATAAAAATGAACAGAGCTCTCTTCTTTCAAAGCACAGACATTTATTGGACTTTTAAGTAGATATCTCTGTGTTGTGTCTCTTTTGCTAAGATATATACTACCTCCATATTGAGTAAATACTAGGATGTCTTGTTTGATTCCATAACTTTAGTGTCTGATACATAGTAGGTTCTCAGTTACTTCTTCAGTGGGTAAAAGGCTATGAATCTATGCGCATTTATTTTCTAACCTCTCTTTCTAAATTGGAAGCAGCACTGTAGCACTGTCATCCTGTTGTTCGTTGATTTGCTCGAGCGGGCACCAGTAACATCTCCATTGTGAGACTTGTTGTTACTGTTTTTGGCATATCAAATATGCCACGGCTAGCTTGCCAGACTCTGTCGTGCTGGTGGGATACTCTCGGTAGCTTGCTGGGCTCTCTGAGAGGAATGAAGGAATTGAACCTGGGTTGGACGCTGAGCAAGGCAAAAGCCCTACCCGCTGTGCTATTGCTCCAGCCCCTGATTTTATCTTTTAATGGACTCGAGCAGTGCCTGGAAGTAGACTCATAGATTGTTGATTTATTTGGTTTGGGGCCACACCTGGTGATCTTCGGTGCTTAATCCTGGCTCTCTTCTCAGGGATCTCTCTTGGTGGTGCTCAGGGTCCATAAGCAATATCAGCCAGGGTCATCTATGATGAAGACAATCACCTTCACCCCTGTAATATTTCTTTGCCCAAACCCTTATAGATTTAAATGATTTCCTCTTATGGAATGAGAATGAAAAAGCACCCTGGAAGAGCTAGGACATGGGGACATTTAAGAGGCCTTTGGCTTTGTCTCTCACCTATGTAGACACCGCCACTGTTTTCTGAGTAAGAGCTGGCTAGATCCCTGACACTTATGATCCAAGAGCTGAGATCTTGATGCTTTTGTTCCCTCTAACATTCCTTGAACTAGAGCTGGAGCAACAGCACAGAAGGGTAGGACATTTGCCTTGCACATGGCCAACCCGGGTTCAATTCCCATCATCCCATATGGTCCCCTGAGCACCGCCAAGAGTAATTCCTGAGTGCACAAGTCAGGAGTACTTAACTCCTTTGCATTGCCAGGTGTGACCCAAAAAGCAAAAAAAAAAAAAAATTCCTTGAACTAGTAACTTGTGTACAACCTATTATATAGCACTTTCAACACTAAATACTGAATATTCATTGAATAGAGAATTTGTAAACATCTTATCATCTAATATGCTATAAACTATGTTTTTTTCTTGTTTGAGGGCCACCTCTGGTGGTGCTCAGTGTCTTACTCTTGGCTCTGTGCTCAGGGGTCAATCTTGGTGGAGCTCCAGGAACCACGTGGGCAATTGAGGAAGGAATCTGGATTTATCCCATGCAAGGCAAACACCGTACTGCTGTAAAATCTCTCCAGTCCCATATTATCAACTTTTTAAATAACAGTAAATAACAGTCTCAATGTTAGAAAAGGTGCAGTGAAGGAAAAAACATTTTTACTCTTTGTAAATTGAATTGGTTATGCAGAAGTCTCCTGAGCCTTGGACAACCATACAAGTTAAATCCTGCTATGACTTAAATGACATGTTGAAAACATAGCCCTTTCTGGGGCTGGCGCAATACCACAGTGGGTGGGGCATTTGCCTTACATGCGAACAACCCCGGTTCAATTCCCAGCATCCCATAGGGTCCCCTGAGCACCGCCAGGAGTAATTCCTGAGTGCATGAGCCAGGAGTAACCCCTGTGCGTCGCCGGGTATGACCCCCCCCAAAAAAAATTGCCCTTTCTAGTGGCAGCTATGTGCTTTATATTTAGAAAAGAAACTTGCTTGTCTTTGGACATGACAATGGTGATAATGACCCACAGATACTGCAGTGACTGGCAATACACAACAATGACCAAATTAGCTGCACTTACAAATCTCATCTCTTATTTACTAGCTGTGAGCTAATGGGCCACTTGCTTAATCTCTTAGATTTTGAGTACTTTTGTTTCCACAAAATAGAAAACAATAGCAATTATCACTTTACTGTTGCTTTTAGTCCAGTATGAGTTAATATGTGTAAAGCAGATGGGATATAATCTCTCATGACTCACTGATAATGCTCCAGAATTTGGGGTGTGTGAACATAGTTGTTAAAAAAACTACACATAAAAAATTACATATATGCAAGAATTTTTCCCAATTCAGTTTCTTTGAATTTGTATCTCTAAGATTAAATATAGCCTTTAAATGTTGTGTATTTGTTATGTAACTTTGCAGCATGAGATACAGATTATTAAAACACCCTGCTTAAGCCAACTTGGTCCAATGCCAAGGTTTATTGCTTGCCAGTTTTATGTCTATGATTTGGTGAAAATCATGAGCTATCTTGTCATTCAGCTTCCTTACTATCAACAATATATGCCTAAAGTGTTCTGTTGATGAAATGTAATGCAAATGTTAAAGTCCCACACATAAAATACTGGCTTGCATATATCGCTGAGAATATAGACCTATGATAGAATTAAAAAGGAACACCCCAAACTGACACGTAACTGATACATTAATGATTTGTAAATGACAGCCTATGAAATATCAACATTGATTAGCAAAAAGCAATGGTCTAAACTGGAATAAAGATGAAAATCATGCATTTTTATACTTTTCTTCTGGCGTGTAAATGAAACGAGCTTCTTTCCATTTTTACCTCAACAGTGCTGAGACTTTGCAGACTCGAGTTATCTAGAATGGGGGGAATTCTCTGTGATTTCTAACATTTCCTTGTGGAGACCCTCACATGCAGTGCTCTGGAACTGTCAGCCTGGGCTGAGTTTGGTAACAGTTTCCAAACGATGTTTCTAAACAGCTCTCTTTTGGCCTCATTATGTTAGATTCACATAGATAAATTGCAACCTAATGCGCCATCTGACATTTTTTATGATGAAACATCAAGACTAGGGGGAAAAGAAGAGTCCTGCGCTAGAAATTTGTTATCTGATGTAAATGACAGGGAGATGGAATTTTTACATAAAGTAGGTAATTGGAAGATTCTACAGATAAAAGCTGTCCCCCAAATCAAAGTTCACCACTGCATACTATGCAATTTGGCTCTGCAGTAACTCGAAACACCATACAGGGAATAAAATCCTTATTGAGCAGCATGAAACAGTCATTAAAGCATAGTATTCTTTTCTAGGTGGTTTTATTATATACACATTGTGACTATTAATCTGTCCTGGTTTAAAATGCACTGTTACTGACCAAAAAAGATTCAAATAGAATAAGAACTATGTTATTTTCTGCCATCTATGATTTCCTCTCCACATTGTCTGTTCTATTCACTTCCTAATGGACCCACGTTAATATGAATATGAGAAGCATAACAGATTTATTACAAATTATTTTTCCACAAGACCAATTGACTTGTTACTATATTGAAGTCACAGTAATGTGTTCATGTAATTGCTGCAGTTCAAATTGTTAACAAGCATTTAGTTAAATATGTCATTCTGTTTCAATAAATCTACTCAAATTAACATGCATCCATTAATCTATGCAATTCCAAAGTGGCAAATTTCATAAATGTGGGAATACTGTCCTTAAAGCGATTAGTTGAGCAATCAAAACCTGTGCTAAGAAGACTTACCATTCGAGATAACTTTCCTGGTGTTTCACTCTTTTTCTGTAGGTGAAGTTGAATAGTCGATTTATCTTTCTGAAATATTCTGTGGCTCCCCAAAGAGTGATCACTGAAGATGGAAAAAATTGAACATAACAATTTCTTCCATAATTTCCCAAAGTAGGTTTATTTCCCTCTAACTTAATTGCATTTCATATTTGGAAGTTAGCCTGGTAAAGATTTTTAATGAAAGGTAAAGGTAAAAGGTAAAGGCCCTCCCGTTGATCGTCGATTTGCTCGAGCGGGCCCAGTAACGTCTCCATTGGAGACTTTGTTGTTACTGTGTCTGGCATATCGAATACTCTCGGTAGCTTGCCGGGCTCTCCGAGATATTGCAATTATTTTCAAATGTAATACATTACAAAATGTTTATAATAAAATAAATTATATATACACAGCTTGTTTCACCCAGGCATCTCTAAATTGAGGACAGAATGCTTCTGGGAGGTCTAATTGATGCTCCAAAATGTATGTGGGGACCATGGTAACTAAAGAAGTAGAGCACGTAGAGCATTGCAGTGGAAATATCCTGGGCTTTAGAGAAAGACCAACTAGCTTTCGCTTCAACTAGCTATCACTCAGACCCTAGGGATGCTAATTAAACTGTCTGAAACGTAATGTTTTTCCTTCTAGAGTTGAGATAATAATATCTACATCAAAGAGTTGACAAGCAGATTAAAATGAAAAAGAATATTTCTATCTGTGTCATAAATTTTTACTGGCATCCTTATGGTTTATATCCTTCTTCTCTTATTCCAACATTTCCATGTCTGTAAATATTTGTTAAAAAAAATTAAATGATGGGCATTATGGGTTAATGACTTATTTAACAATTTATTTTAAATACCACCAGCTTCCTCTTTGAATAGAAGGTCTTAATGATTTTTTTTTTCTATATGAGCTCTCTAGCCTTTGATTTTGATACATCTATCTGGTCATCAAAAAGAATGAAGTATGTTATTGCACATTGGTACATTGTTTAATGATCTTAGCTAAATAACAATGGATTTCAGGAGAATAAAAACTGTATTAAAATTTCAGAGCCCTTCAGGGCCCCTTCCCGGGGCTGTGCATCTAACTAGATCCCCTGAGAACGGCTTCTTTTCACCCTTGGTCTGTGGGGGATGGGAATTGAGGCACACCATGTGAAAGCAAAGCTGAACTGTTCTGGGCACCCTCTCCTCATTCATCCAAGTACCTACCTGGCACAGGGCCCTTTCCCGGTGCTATGGCCGCATTAGCGGCCACGAATTATTCTCCCCCTACATATCCCATAGGAACCATAAGATACCCTCTTAGATGGAACTTTCACTAGGTTAGCTTAACCACCAGAAACGCATTAGCCATTAAGCCCATCTCAATTCATTCTGCATTTCAAGCAGAATAGTAACAATGAGTGTGAAGTTCTAAACCACACAGGTCACAATTGGTAAAGCAACACAGAAGCCCACCAAGCTTACTTATTGAAGAGGCTAGCCCAGAAGACACCAACAGTAATGAAGTACTAGACAACCTCTCTGACAAGGAATTTAGAAGGGAGCTACTGAGTATGCTTAGTAAGCTAAAAGAAACAATGGAAAGCAATGCCAATAAAAGACGAGGATTTGAAGGTATAAATGAGGAAAATATAAACAAAATTGGAAACGGAAATGTCAGATCTAAAAAACCTAGTAGGTGAATTGAAAAACTCAGTGGAAGGCCTCAGCAACAGAGTAACAGCTGTTGAGGACAGAGTCAGTAAAACCTCTACCAAGAAACTGCTAAAAACAATGGACTTGTATAGTAAAGTTGTAGGCTATAAAACCAATACCCAAAAGTCCATGACTTTTCTATATGCAAATAGTGAGAGAGAAGAAACTGACATAAAAAAAATCCCATTCACAATTGTGCTCCGGAAAATCAAGTACCTAGGAATCAGCTTAACTAAAGAAGTAAAGGACCTGTACAAAGAAAACAACAAAACGCCACTTCAGGAAATAAAATAGGACATGAGAGAATGGAAAGATATCCCCTGCTCATGGATCGGGAGAATTAACATTGTTAAAATGACAACACTTCTCAAAGCATTGTACAAATTCAATGCGATCCCTACAACAATACCCATGACATTCTTCAAAGAAATTGAGCAACCACTCCTGAAATTCATATGGAAAAATAAGCCCCACAAAAAGCTAAAGCAATTTTGGGAAAAAGAAAATGAGAGGAATCAACCTCCCTAACTTCAAACTCTACTACAAAACAGTAATAATTAAAACAGCATGGTACTGCAACAAAGGTGGAGCTGCAGACCAATAGAACAGGGTTGAATATACTGACATCTCCCCCCAAACATATGATCATCTAATCTATGGTGCTGGCAAAACTGGATTGCAACATGCAAAAAATGGGTTCAGATCTCTACTTAATACCATGTACCAACTGTCACTGTCACTGTCATTGTCCTCCCATTGTTCATCGATTTGCTCGAGTGGGCCCAGTAACATCTCCATTGGAGACTTTGTTGTTACTGAGTTTGGCATATCGAATGCATCATGGGTAGCTTGCCAGGCTCTGCTGTGCGGGCGAGATACTCTCGGTAGTTTGCCGGGCTCTCCGAGAGGGGCGGAGGAATCGAACTTGGGTCGGCCATGTTGGCTGCGTGCAAGTCAAACGCCCTACAGCTGTGCTATCGCTCCAGCCCTACCAGCTCATATACTAAAATTGGAACCATGTACAAAAGTAAGATCAAAATGGATTAAAGGCCTCATCATCAGACTTAATCCATAAGGTGTAAGATAACACTGTTTTGTCCTTCCTGCATAGCCTCAGATAGTATAGGTATATTGGGTTGCTCCCATCACAGTGCTCCCATTCCTCTGTGTTTATTTGTAACTTCTTTCTTTGTACTCTGTTGACTTGTAAATATTGTTTTTCTCTTCTCCCCAAGTCCTTTGCATAGTTTATTCAGAGCAACATCTTTTTTCTATGGACACAAGAAAAAACATGCTTTTGTAATGTGACTCTCTGTGTTATTTCCCTCCTAGGCATCTGTTCTCTCACCTAAGCCTCAGCTGCCTTTACTTCCTAGCGCCCCCAAAAGTAGGATCCAGACGAGAAACTGGATGGAACCAGGGCAAGTAGTAAGCTATGTGCTACCCTGGCATCAAGATTGGCCTGGCCAAAGTGCCATAATGCTTAACTATCAGTTAAGAGCTTGGTCATGGACAAATGCTGTCATGATCCAAAAAGTAATAACTGGATTTGGACCCTGCTAGGGTTAGGAATGATTAATCTGGCCTGAGCGCTGTAGTTGAGTCCGTGGCAAGATGTTCCCAGGAGAGCTGCCCTACAAGCCTCAATGGTATCTCTTACTGTGTCCATACAAAAATAACTAGTGTTAAGACGTCCATAGTTCTTGGACTGAGGAAAGGAGAAGAATACCTTAGGAGGTGTTTTGCCTGGGGCAGTCAGGAAGGGCTTTAGAATACCTATTAGACAGGTCCTCAGGAAGGGCTTTCTTGATGTTGTTTTTGCTACCTGACTGGGTATAGTGTCAGCCCAGACTGCAGGGGAGTTGGAGGCAAGAGAGCTGGGGAGAGAGAGAGAGCAGGGGAGCATGATCCACCATGGAGAGGCTAGCAAGGGGGACAGAGAGAGAAGAATGTAGAAGAATACAGGAGCAAGCATGTGAAGAGAGAGAGCCCAAGCTGTGAGATAGAGTGTGGAGTGATGAGCTGGAGAGTCGGAAGGAGACGGGAATGAGGAGCAGTTGGGATGAGAATGGGAGGCTCAGAGAGACTGGGGCAGGCGTGTGGGGAGAATGGAATAAACTGCAACTGATCAATCAACCAGCTTAGTCCTTGTCTCATCCACCTTCTGCCCCATGACCCGGGCCATCCTGGCTGGGTGAGCAGCCCGGGCCCTCCCCAAATCACGGGCGGCTAGGGGAAGAGCTCTGGGGCCCTCCCTGACCTCCCCTTAAAGATTTTTTTACAATAAGGTACATTGAAGACAAAGTTGGCAAAACCCTCCATGACACTGAAGCTAATGGCATCTTCAAAGATGTCACATCACTGGCCCAGCAAGTAAAAACAGAGATAGATAAATGGGACTATCTTGAACTAAGAGGCTTCTGCACTTCAAAAGAAACAGTGACCAAAATACAGAGACAGTCTACAGAATGGGAAAGGACATTCGCCCAATATACATCCGACAAAGGGGTTGATATCAAGGATATACAAAGTACTGGTTGAACTCCACAAGAAGAAAACATCCAACTCCATGAAAAAATGGGGCGACAAAATGAACAGAAACTTTCTCAAAGAGAAAATGCTGTACATCATTAATCATCAGGGAGATGCAGATCAAAACAACAATGAGATATCATTTCACAGCACAGAGACTGGCCCACATCCAAAAGAACAAAAGCAACCCATGCTGGCAAGGATGTGGTGAGAAAGGGACCCTCCTTCATTGCTGGTGGGAATGCCGACTGGTTCAGCTGTTCTGGAAAACAGTATGGACGGTTCTCAAAAAAATAGAAATTGAGCTCCCATTTGACCCAGCAATACCACTCCTCGGAATATATCCCAACGAAGCAAAACAGTATAGTCTAAGTGATGCCTGCACTTGTTTGTTCATTACAGCACTCTTTACAATAGCCAGAATCTGGAAAAAACCTGAGTGACCAAGAACAGATGACTGGTTAAAGAAACTTTGGTATGGTACATCTACACAATGGAGTACTATGTAGCTGTTAGAAAAGATGAAGTCATGAACTTTACATACAAGTGATACTACATAGAAAGTATCATGTTAAGCGAAAGAGAGGGAGACAAAGTTGGCAAAACCCTCAGAAAGAAAAGTTGGCAAAACAGTCAGAAAGAGAGGGACAGACATAGAAAGACTGCATTCTTCTGGGGAGCATAAAGTAACAAAATAGGAGACTACCACCCAAGAGTGGCCAAGATTAGTACCAGGAGGTTTGCTCCATGGCTTGGAGGCCAGCCACACGTGCTAGGGGTAAAGGGAGCTCATATAGAGAAGGGAGCATCAAATAAAGGGTGTTGGGAGGATCCTCCCAGGATGGGA